CTTGAGTTTTATCTGTAACTCTGGTTTTTCTGTGACATACTCATTTTTGTAACTCAAACAGTGAAATTCCAAGCATAGATCACCCAGTAAAAATCAATGAAAAAACTCAGTTAAAAAGAAAACGTATAAAACAGTAAAGAATACGTCTAACAACGCAGTATTCAATATTTATTAATATATATATGGCAACAGACTAACTACGTATTAGATACCGCTGCAGAACAACTTCACTTTACAGAATCTCTAAGATCGAACTCGAAAAAAATCGTAAAATATCTAGAAAATAAAATCGTAAAATTCGAACGAACAATACGAGTATGTTTTAGTAAAACAGATATGCATAGTGCATACTCTGTTTTTATGATGTAGAATATACTCGTTTCTGAGTATATTTCTGAAAGAGTTTTAAATAGTTTTAGGGCAAGAAAATGTCCGCCGCGCTGCCCCAATGCGTGTTGGCAAACTTCATGTTTATTTAATATTTTTTTTCTTATTTCTCACACATGCAAGTTTCCCCACGATGTTTTTCTTTACTGCCGAGCTCGTGGTAAATCAGCACCCACAATTTCAATTAACAATTTCATTGGTACTGGCGGGGATCGAACCCGGATTGCTCGCGTACTGTGAAATTTACAGCGACTGCTTAGCCTCTGAACTCACACGGCTCTTTTTCATAGATATATTAACCAAACAATACGTATTACCAACATATCTTTATATCTAAGCAAAACAAAAAATATCAAAAATTGCCTTTTATTGTGAAGTACTGAACACTGAACACGTAGACATCAATCGATACGAGTAGGTATACAGATATTGAAGTATATAGATTGATTATCAGAATATTCAAATCCAATACATCGATACGATCTGTAATCTGGTGTGGTACTACCCATTCCAACCTAAGGCGTTTCACCGTAGACCTTAGGGTGTAAAGCATCTACGATATAATTCATAAATAAGGATATATTGAAACCTATGGGCTGCGGGACGGCGGGAACCAATTGCCATAAGGTTGGCTGTGTGCTCGGTTGTTACCATCACTTCTAATGAAAGAATAGACTGGTTTTTGAAGAACTTCTATAAACTATATAATATTTATTTAAATTTCTTAGACATATCGAATTCATCCGATGTTTACCTTAACTGTAGAACACGACATGAAGGCAGTAGCTAAAATTGCAATTAACAATTTTACAGGTAGGAGCGCAGATTGAATTATGGTTATTCAAGCAATAAGAAAATAAAAGTGAGTTTGTAGCCCCAGAGACACCTACCGCAGCTTTTATTTTAAGTAATAATTATTTTTATCATTTCAGGTTATCATTGTTGTTATCGTTGTATATTAATAAACAAAAGTCTGCTCGCAGATAGCTATACTCTGTAATTATAAACATACATAGAAAAAAGAAATGGCGGTTGTTATTATTTTAAGCATGATATATAATAATAGTGATAGTTCATAGTGAATCTCGTAAAAACTTCTATTTAAAATAGATCATAATAGGTCTTAAGATGAACATGAACAAAACAAAGATCATGTTTAATGTCCATGTCACACCTATGCCGGTCGTTGTTGGGAACACTAAGCTCGAAGTTGTAGACGAGTACGTTTACCTGGGACAAATAGTCCGACTAGGTAAGTCCAACTTCGGCCGAGAGGTCAATCGACGGTTTCAACTCGGCTGGGCAGCGTTCGGGAAATTACGACACATCTTCTCGTCAGGTATACCTCAAAACCTGAAAAGTAAGCTGTACAACCAGTGCGTGTTTCCAGTGATGACCTACGGAACCGAGACGTGGTCCTTCAATGTTGGCCGTATGAGGACGCTCAAAGTCGCTCAGCGAGCTATAGAGAGGGCTATGATCGGAGTTTCTCTGCATTATAAACTTAGAAATGAGGATATCCGCAGTAGAACCAGAGTGACTGACATAGCCCAACGGATTAGTAAGCTAAAGTGGTAATGGGCCGGCCATATAGCTCAAAGAACCGACAACCGTTGGGGAAAAAAGGTTCTCGAGTGGCAGCCTCGTACTGGTAGGCGAAGTGTAGGGCGACCCCCACTAGATGGAGTGACGACCTGGTAAGACATGCAGGAAGTCGATGGATGCAGGTGGCTCAGGAATGTGCTTTGTGGCATTACTTGGGGGAGGCCTATGTTCAGCAGTGGACTTGTGAAGGGCTGTAATGATGATGATGATGATCATTTAATTAAAATTTTAACTTTAACATTTGTTAATATTGTAAACGTTTTTTTCTACAGGTTGAGCCTTAACCATTGAGTTATACAAAACTAAAAGAGAAAACTACATTACCGTGCGTCGAAAAAAGTATATCCACTATCCAACCGCGACGCCTTGAAATTACTGAACATTTTACATAAATATATATCTGTCTCACTTACGCAAGTTGCGAAAACAATACGGTCGCTAAGGTTAGATAAAAATAGACATACAAACATGCAATGGCGGGGTAGTGTGGCCTACTATATGAAATTTACCCAAAGTACACAATAAAAAGGAGTTTTTTTAAGCTGCAGTTAATTGTCTTTATTTAGAAAAAAGTATATTTTCTTATCAAAATAATAATAATAATAACTCATTTGATTCCTAAAGATCAGAGTGCCACAGACCCGAGCAAATATCGCCCCATCACGTGTCTACCGACCATATAGAAGACACTAACATCCATTTTGAGCGCAAGAATCGCTCGTCACCTGGACTTAAATCAGGTGATGTCGCGCGCTCAAAATGGATGTCGGGGCGGCGGTCGTGGAACCAAGGAACCACTCCTCATTGACGCGGTCATTGGCAAAGTGGTGAAACGCAACCGTCGGAACTTCTCCGCCGCCTGGATAGATTACAGAAAGGCATTTGACTCGGTGCCCCATACATGGCTAAAGAGGGTCCTCGAGCTGTACAAGATTGACTGTACAGTTCGAGACTTCCTCGAGCAGTGTATGGGGCAGTGGAGTACGATCCTCTGTCATCTAGGCGAGCGGATGACGGCTGCGGAAAGCCGCATAAGGATAAGAAGGGGTATCTTCCAGGGCGATTGTTTGAGTCCAATCTGGTTCTGCCTTTCTCTTAACCCTCTCAGTACCTTACTGGAGGGCTCCGGGAGGGGATTTAAGCTACGGAAAGGAGGGACAAAAGTGACCCACCTTTTCTATATGGATGACCTCAAGTTATTCGCCTCCAGTCGCTCCCATCTTATGGAATTGCTAAACATCACTTGTGAATTTAGCAGTTCCATTGGAATGGAGCTGGGGACGGATAAGTGTGCGGTCCTCCATGTTGAAAGGGGAAGGGTTGCTAACTCTGAGGGCATAGACAAGTCTATGCCCGTCAACTTAAGGACCCTTTCCGAGGCTGAAACATACCGATACCTGGGTATGTCACAGAACATCGGTATCGATGAGGCTGGTATGAAACAGTCAGTTTGCGACGTGTTTTATGCACGCTTGACCAAAGTGCTTAACAGCCTTTTGTCCGGTGTGAATAAGACACACGCATATAACGGCTGGGTCATGCCTGTTCTCATGTATACCTTTGGCATACTCAGGTGGACTCAGACTGAGCTTAACGCCCTGGATAGAAAAGTCCGCACTACAATGACGTCCCATAGGATGCATCATCCGAGATCGTCGGTAATGAGGCTGTACTTGCCGCGAAAGCATGGTGGGCGTGGCTTCCTGAGCGCGCTCACCATGCATAATCGCGAAGTGTGCAGCCTCCGTCATTACTTCCTGGCGAGATCGGATGATCCATTCTATAATGACGTCATTTCTAGTGATAAAGGACTTACCCCTCTATCCTTAGCCAACGAGCAATGGGGAGACCCGGCAGTACAGAGCATTTCCGACCGGGAGACCGTATGGAAGGAGAAGGAGCTCCACGGGAGGTACTACAGGGCTCTACATGAGCCTCACGTAGATACAGCCGCCTCCATCAACTGGCTACGTTTCGGTAACCTCTTCGGGGAAACCGAGGGTTTTCTCCGTGCAATACAGGATCAGGTTATTAAGACCAACAACTATCGGAGATACATCCTAAAGGATGGCACTGTCGACGTCTGTCGAGCTTGTCGCCATCCCGGGGAGTCACTTAGGCATGTCATCTCCGGTTGTTCGGCGCTTTCTAACTCTGAGTACTTGCACAGGCACAACCTAGTAGCCAGAATTCTACACCAGGAGCTCGCTCTGAAATACGGTCTCGTGGACCGAAAATTGCCGTATTACAAGTACTTGTCGGAAGCCGTGCTCGAAAATGACCGCGCCACGCTCTACTGGGACCGGGCCATCATCACAGACAGGACTATTCTTGCGAATAAGCCTGATATTGTGCTGATGGACCAGGCACTGTCAAGGATATTTTTGATCGACATTACCATTCCGTATGACGAGAACCTCGTGAAAGCCGAAACGGATAAACGAACAAAATATCTGGACCTGGCTCACGAGGTGACCGACATGTGGGGTGGTATGCCGACCGAAATTATTCCTGTAGTCGTCTCTGCGAATGGGCTAATCCCAGTCAGCCTCTCGGGTCATCTGAGGCGACTGGGACTCCGTGACGGACCGCTCCGGGCTCAAATGCAGAAGGCGGTGCTTCTCGATACCGCCAGCATCGTCCGCCGGTTTCTTTCCCTTTCCCCCTAACCCTCGGCCGTTTGGTCTCCCCCTGCCGAGGGCTCCCATCTGGTTGGATCTTATTTATTTATGTAGTTTTTGTATTTATTTTATTTTATTGATATTTATGTATATTTATCTTATCATTTTAATTTATAATTATATATTTATAGCACCCAACCAGGTGAGAAAGTATAAAAAAAGTAATAATAATAATAAAAAGGCGTAGGGAAGTGACGACCCCTTCGCCCGCTGACGTAACAGTTATGTGACAAAACTGCGACATTGGCGCAGTCAGTCAGCAACCTGCCAAGAGGTGTGAGCGCCGTGCCTAGGCAAAATTGTAGATGCAAATGTCCGTTTGTGCATATGACCCAACCACGAAACGGTGCCGGGCTTGGGCGTCTCCCGTTATTTGGCGCCCATAAAATGGATGATGGAAAAACACAAAAAGGAACGCGCATAGGGCCGCTGCCTGGGGGTCGCCGGGGCGCGTCTGGAGCTGGCGCTGAACGCGGCAGCATGCGGGCCGCCAGCCGAGTGCGAGGAGCTGCACGATCACCTAGCAGCCCCTCGCATCCATCATCCCCACCAGAAGGCTTGGTGTCGGCTGGGTCTTCCCGGACCCAGCAAGCGGCACCCGCTGCTGGTGGAGCACGTCGTATGCGTTGGACAAAATCCATGAACGAAAACGCATTGCGGGCGTACTATAGGGCGAAAGGGGAAGAAACTGTGGGAATAGCGTATAGGTCTCGGAGGCATTGCTTTTTTGCTGAGCTGGAGCCGTCTATCCCCGTCACGGAACAAAACCTGGCAGACCGAGTTCGGTACATCATGCGCTCGAAAATATTTGATGATGCCGAACTCGAACGACTACGACGTGAGGCTATTCTGACGTCGAATGAATCGGCTATGGCTGGAGATGCAGCTCCACATTCGACAGACCAGCATCCACACGTGGAAGCCGCCATGGATCTTCCAGTTGTGGTTGATTTGAACGACGATGAAATAGTCTCCCACGAACTAGAGCAAATGAGGATTATATTGGAAGAGGCGATTTTGGAAACGCGCAGCACCCCTCTCGAAAATCGACCGCAACTTCCCCGCATACCCTTAAGCAAGCGAAATCGGGCTGTCGCGAGGGCTCTTAACCCAATGCTGGTGACCTATTTGGAAGCCAGCCGGGACCTTTGCGAGACGGACTCGATTCTCTTTGGCGCCGCAGTGGCAGTTTGCCGTATTATTGGCGCCAAACTTCCCACGGCTGGACGCGCTACTACACAAACTAACGCCATCCCAGCCTGGAGGAAAAGAATCGAGGACCGTATCGCAAAGGCAAGGGCCCTTATCGGCAGACTGACAAGCTTCAGGTCGGGTAATAATAGACCGAGGATTATGCGCACCGTTAGGATGGCGTTTGCTGGGACAAATATCAGTTTGTCCCAGCCGGATATCACGCAGAAACTAACGGAGCGCATAGACGACCTGAAGCAAAAGATCGCTGCTTGGGGGAAGCGGATTCGACGATTTTCCGAGGGGTCAAGGCGGTTCAACCAGAATCGTCTCTTCCAGAGTGATCAGAAGAGGCTCTATAAATTATTGGAGCGACCAAAGGTATGTGGAGCGGGCCAAGGACTGGATCAGGCTGACATTATCGCATTCTGGCGTGGCCTGTGGTCAGAGCCCGTAAACCACAGTGAGGGCCCTTGGATGGAAGTTGTGGCGAGCCAGGGTGCGAGTGTTACGCCTATGGACCGCATCACCATAACGCCAGAAGACGTGGCTGAGGTGGTCCGTAGGGTCCCGAACTGGAAAAGTCCGGGGCTCGACGGGCTGCATCATTACTGGCTGAAGGGGTTCGTAGTGTGTCACGCTGTGCTCGCCCGACGGTTTCAAGAGGCTCTCGACCAGAAGTCACTCCCGAGCCTCTTCACTACTGGGATCACTCACTTGGTTCCTAAAGATCAGGATACCACAGACCCGAGCAAATACCGCCCCATCACGTGTCTACCCACCATATATAAGACATTGACATCCATTTTGAGCGCGAGAATCGCTCGTCACCTGGAGCTAAACCAGGTGATGTCGCGCGCTCAAAATGGATGTCGGGGCGGTGGTCGTGGAACTAAGGAACCACTCCTCATTGACGCGGTCATAGGCAAAGTGGTGAAACGCAACCGTCGGAACTTCTCCGCCGCCTGGATAGACTACAGAAAGGCGTTCGACTCGGTGCCCCATACATGGCTAAAGAGGGTCCTCGAGCTGTACAAGATTGACTGTACAGTTCGAGACTTCCTCGAGCAGTGTATGGGGCAGTGGAGTACGATCCTCTGTCATCTGGGCGAGCGGATGACGGCTGCGGAGAACCGCATAAGGATAAGAAGGGGTATCTTCCAGGGCGATTGTCTGAGTCCAATCTGGTTCTGCCTTTCTCTTAACCCTCTCAGTACCTTACTGGAGGGCTCCGGGAGGGGATTTCAGCTACGGAAAGGAGGGACAAAAGTGACCCACCTTTTCTATATGGATGACCTCAAGTTATTCGCCTCCAGTCGCTCCCATCTTATGGAATTGCTAAACATCACTTGTGAATTTAGCAGTTCCATTGGAATGGAGCTGGGGACGGATAAGTGTGCGGTCCTCCATGTTGAAAGGGGAAGGGTTGCTTACTCTGAGGGCATAGACAAGTCTATGCCCGTCAACTTAAGGACCCTTTCCGAGGCTGAAACATACCGATACCTGGGTATGTCACAGAACATCGGTATCGATGAGGCTGGTATGAAACAGTCAGTTTGCGACGTGTTTTATGCACGCTTGACCAAAGTGCTTAACAGCCTTTTGTCCGGTGTGAATAAGACACACGCATATAACGGCTGGGTCATGCCTGTCCTCATGTATACCTTTGGCATACTCAGGTGGACTCAGACTGAGCTTAACGCCCTGGATAGAAAAGTCCGCACTACAATGACGTCCCATAGGATGCATCATCCGAGATCGTCGGTAATGAGGCTGTACTTGCCGCGAAAGTATGGTGGGCGTGGCTTTCTGAGCGCGCTCACCATGCATAATCGCGAAGTGTGCAGTCTTCGTCAGTACTTCTTGGCGAGATCGGATGATCCATTCTATAATGACGTCATTTCTAGTGATAAAGGGCTTACCCCTCTATCCTTAGCCAACGAGCAATGGCAGGACCCAGCAGTGCTTAGCAATTCCGACCGGGAGACCGTATGGAAGGAAAAGGAGCTCCACGGGAGGTACTACAAGGCTCTACATGAGCTCTTCGTAGATACAGTTGCCTCCCTCAACTGGCTACGTTTCGGTGACCTCTTCGGGGAAACCGAGGGTTTTGTCTGTGCAATACAGGATCAGGTTATTAAGACCAACAACTATCGGAGATACATCCTAAAGGATGGCACCGTCGACGTCTGTCGAGCTTGTCGCCATCCCGGGGAGTCACTTAGGCATGTCATCTCCGGTTGTCCGGCGCTTTCTAACTCTGAGTACTTGCACAGGCACATCCTAGTAGCCAGAATTCTACACCAGGAGCTCGCTCTGAAATACGGTCTCGTGGACCGGAAATTGCCGTATTACAAGTACTTGCCGGAAGCCGTGCTCGAAAATGACCGCGCCAGGCTCTATTGGGACCGGGCCATCATCACAGACAGGACTATTCTTGCGAATAAGCCTGATATTGTGCTGATGGACCGGGCACAGTCAAGGATATTTTTGGTCGATATTACCATATCCCGTATGACGAGAACCTCGTGAGAGCCGAAACAGATAAGCAATCAAAATATCTGGACCTGGCTCACGAGGTGACCGACATGTGGGGTGGTCTGCCGGTCGAAATTATTCCTGTAGTCGTCTCTGCGAATGGGCTAATCCCAGTTAGCCTCTCAGGTCATCTGAGGCGACTGGGACTCCGTGACGGACCGCTCCGGGCTCAAACGCAGAAGGCGGTGCTCCTTGATACTGCCCGCATCGTCCGCCGGTTTCTTTCCCTTTCTCCCTAACCCTTGGCCGCTTGGTCTCCTCTGCCGAGGGCTTCCATCTGGTTGGGCTTTTATTTATTTATGTATTTTTGTATTTATTTTATTTTATTGATATTTATGTATATTTATCCTTTCATTTTCGTTTATAATTATATATTTATACATCCCAACCAGATGAGAAAACTATATAGATACCCCACACATAATAATAATATAATATGTAATAATAATATAATATATAATAATATAATCCTGCCAAATACTGTCCGATCACATGCCTCAGCACTTTTTATAAAACATTGACCTCTTGCCTCTCTAACAAGATCTACCAACATCTCGACCATCACACTTTTCTGGCAACAGAGCAGAAAGGGTGCATTAAGAGATCATTGGGATGCAAAGAACAACTCACGATAGATTCAGTTATCACGGGGCAAGCGTATCAAAAGTCGCGGAAACTCCACGTGGCCTACATTGATTACAGGAAAGCTTTCGACTCCGTGCCGCATTCCTGGTTGAGGGAGGTACTCAAACTTTGTAAGATCGACCCTGAAGTTATCACTCTACTAGAATACTTTACGACAAATTGGGCAACTTCTCTTCATCTGAACCATGGCGTTAACCAGAAGATCACAACAGGGTACATACCGATACGAAGAGGAATCTTTCAAGGAGACAACCTTAGCCCTTTATGGTTCTGCCTTGCACTCAACCCCCCTCTCTTCACTCCTTAATGAAACAGGACATGGATATCTTATAAAAGGGGCTCAGGGATATCACCGAAAGCTGACTCACCTAATGTAGGACGATATTATGATCTATGCGGCAAATGAACGAGAGCTCCAAACGCTGCTTCACTGCACTAAACAGTTCTCTAGTGATATTAATATGTCATTTGGACTTGAAAAGTGCAGAACCGTAAATGTTTACCGTAGACGAATTGAGTCATCTAGAGGTTTCGACCTTAAGAGAGGTGGAAAGATCGACGCGATGACAGAAAATGACACCTATAAATATCTGGGCATCACCCAATCACTTCGAATCAATCACGGTGAAATTAGGTCGAAGGTGACTGAAGTATACAATCAAAGGTTTAAAAGAATCCTCAGTTCAGGCCTAAATGGACGCAACCTCACTAAAGCAATTAACAGCTTTGCCATCCCAGTATTAACTTACACGTTTGGAGTAGTTAACTGGTCAGATACTGAACTGGCAAAAATTGAGAGGTCTACTCGCGTCATGCTTACTAAATATCTTATCATCACCCAAAATCAGCCGTTGAGCGGGTAACTCTATCTCGAGCCAATGGCGGTAGAGGACTGATAGATATTCGTAGATTGTGTGCTAAACATATTCGGAGTCTTCGAAGTTATTTCCTTTCGCAAAAGTCCTCTCCCCTGCATCAAGCAGTAATAAAGGCTGATGACCGTCTAACAACGCTCGATCTCCTTCATGCCGACAATTTCCTACCGTTAGAGACTGACGCTGAATACAAAGAAGCCAAACTCCAGCAATGGGCCTCAAAACCTCTTCACGGTCGATTCGCTAATGAACTGAGTCAATCACATGTCGACATTGAAGCGTCGAACAACTGGCTCAGACATGGTGAGATCTTTACTGAAACTGAGGGATTCATGGTGGCGATTCAGGATCAGGTTGTGCCTACGAAAAATTATCTTAAGTACATTGTCAAGACAGGTATCGAAGATGACCAGTGCCGACGGTATCATCAAAAGCCAGAGACCATCCAGCACATAACTGGCGGCTGCCAGGCTCTTGTTGGGACCGAGTACACCCAGCGCCATGACAACGTGGCAAAAATTGTGCACCAAGAGCTGGCAGTAAAATACGGTCTCCTTAAGGAGACAGAACCCCACTGGAAATACAATCCATCCCCGGTACTCGAGAATGATTCTGCCCAACTTTATTGGGATAGGTCAGTTTTAACTGACCGGACCGTTGAGCATAATCGACCGGACATAATATTAGTAGAAAAGGAGGAGAAGCGGACGTGGTTGTTGGATATTGGCATTCCAAACTCGCATAATGTGCAGAAGTACAGCACTGAAAAGTTGACTAAGTACCAGCGGTTAGCTGAAGAAATCCGACAGTTAAGGCGACAGCAGCAGGTGCTTATCGTCCCGCTGATTCTCTCTACCACGGGAGTTGTTCCTAAATCCCTTACTGACAATTTAGCTAAGCTGGGCATTTCAGTGAGGTGAGGAACAAAATTCAAAAAGCCGTAATTTTGGATACGACAGCGATAGTACGTCGCCACCTCACAATTTAAGCAAAAGAGCGGCATCTTGCGATCAGCTGATACCGCATTTTAAAACCCTAAAAGGAGCATTAATGGATAACCCACAATAATATGTAATAAAATATAAAAATTATAATTAATATAAAATTATTAACCCAAAATAGGTAAAAAATAAGAATAATTAATAACTTTGTATGAAAGTTAAAACGTAGTTTTTATTATAATTTCCAAAATATTTAAAATCAGAGGTAAAAAATTAACTTACTCCATTAATTATATAGTCTCCCATTAATACGGGATAATCACAAAGGTGGAAAATTGGCAACATTGAACCAAATCGCAATATTCGATAATTTTATTTCGAGGATTTTATGTTTATACGAAAACATGAACCAAAACTTATGTGTGGAAAGTGATTTCGCTTGATTTATTGTTCTTGTGACCTTGAATCGCATTATTTCACTACGCATTTACCCATTTTTGTTCATTTGTGACCATTTTTGTTCGGCTTGACTCTGTCGGCGTTGCACTGAATACTGAAGTGACGCTAGCTAGGCATATGGCTGTGGCCATATGTGCAGTGGCAACGCTTTTACGCGGTAATTACTAATCTAGTGTAATATATAAATCAATGGCCTTAACTGTATGAGCGTTTTATTTTGTTTATAATTCAAAAACCGTTAAAGGTATTGGGGCACGAGGGGTGTTGTTAGACGCGCCATTTAGTGGAATTTTTAGTCGCCATAGACGCGTTCACGATAACACAGCGTGCGTTTTGTGTTCGCGCGTATTATGTAAATACCTAACAATTCTGTGACTGTTGCTATACGAATGTAACGCGTTCATTTCGGCTTATATGACATTAAAGAAACACCATGCGCAAATTTATTCGGAAAAGATGTTCAAAAAAACCGGGTCTATAGTAAGAATAAATATTGCGGGCTACCCGAAGTCAATATGGACGCCGGAGATTACTCAACGAATAGACAAAATTCTCGACAATCGACTCGCAAAAGAAGGCAAATCTTGAACATCAAGAGGACTACTTTGCGCAGGATTTTGCACCGTGATTTGCATTTAAAAGCGTATAAAACTCAGTTGACACAAGAGTTGAAGCCTAATGATGCCAATCTTAGACTTCATTTTGCTAATGTTATGCTGGAACGTTTTAACAATTTTTCCAACATAATCTTCCGTGTCAATGTACATGTTAATAAGCAAAATTGCCGGTTTTGGTCCGACTCTAATCTCCGCGAGATGCATCAAAGACTTCTTCATAGCCATAAGGTCATTGTGTGGATTGCAATATCGGCTAGTGGAATAATTGGGCCATACTTCTTTAAAAACCAAAGAGGAGTTGCTGTGACAGTGCGATCTGAGAATTATTGTCAGATGTTGCAAGAGCTTCTGGTTCCAGCTTTCTAAGAATTTCAAGGTTACAGCGCGTGCAACACTTCTGCAGTCTCAATAGACGTGCTGAAAGAAATGTTTCCAGGAAAACTCATATCGCAAAGAGGAGACATTGAGTGGCCTCCAAGGAGTCCAGATCTTTTTCCTAATGATTATTTTTTGTAGTTTTACCTAAAAACAAGAGCCTACAAAAAATAATCCAACAACAGTTGTAGAGATAAATAAAAACATTGTGCAAGAAATTAACGCCGTTCCACGAGCAACTTGTCAACGTATTTTTCAAAATCTGCGAGTACAAGAATGTCAAAAAGTTCAAATTTAGATGTCACTTAAATTTCGATATCTTGTACTTTTTAAGTGTACAATAAAAAACTACAAGATTTACAGTTTTTTTTAATTACATATTGAAATCACTCATACAGTTAAGGCCCATCCTGTACTTTAGTTTTTCAGTACAGTGTAGTGAACAAATACAAAGAACGTTATTATAAAAGGATCCACTGCACATATCATACAGTGGGTAAGGGGTGACAGAGGGAAATGAAAAAAATGGTTAGCAGCAGTCTTCCAGCCAAGCGTGGCTACTGTAGTAAATATCCCCTCTATTAGTCAATGTATGGTGGAGGCCTATGTTCAACAGTGCTCTTTTGATAAGATGTATTGAACGAATGGTTTTTTTCGATAAGATGTATTGAACGAATGTTTTTTTTTGATAAGATGTATTGAACGAATGGTGTTGCACGCGCTGTAACGGCAAACACGTACTTTGTTCACATTGTGTGACTGATTTCGGTAACCGCCAAAATTATCAGTAAACGATATGTAATCTATTAGCTAGTCCTCATTTACACCAAAGTGTATAAACGATTACGGAATATAATAAAGAAAAAGAAACCTATTAACCTTAAAGATGTAAAGCTATTAGTTAGGCAGAGCAGAGATTTCACGCGAGTATTTTGAAGTCATTCGAATTTAATATCATTATTATTTTTGAATAGGATACATATAAACTTAGGAAGCAATGGGCCGACCATATAGCTTGACGAACCCTACCCTACCGTAGGATGACCCTCTCATAGAAAACTGGACTGGACTGGGCTTTACTAGAGTGACAACCGGGTAAAACATGCAGTAAAGATTTATCCATAGAAATGGATGCAGGTGGCTTAAGACGGTATATTCTGATATTACTTGGCGAAGAACAATGATAATAATGATGAAGATGCAGGTGATGTATGTTAATGGTAAAAACATTTGACAGTTTAAATTGACTTTAATGAGATGTTGCATAATTTTTTCCCTCCATGTACTTTAAAATAAAATAATGTTATCTCTTATGAGCTCGTAACGATATTCTGATAGATATAGACCTCTTTTACTATAGGGGAGACCACAGTTCGTATATCAAAACGTCTTGCACCATAGATTATAAACTCTGATCTCAATTTGATTTTTTTAATACAATATAATATTTGCTTTGTGCTAGCCGATACAAAAGTAAAAAAATAAAGTGAATTTACTGCCTATTTGTTACGTTCCACTACTGAAAACAGAATCATTCCAATTTTTGAGAGGACTATGGTGCATAGTTGCTCATGAGGGGTTGTCATAGTTGCCATTTTTAGCAAGCCCTTAAGTTGATGGATGCAAGTGGCCCAAGACCGTGATTTGTGGTGTTCATTAGGGGAGGTCTATGTTCAGCAGTAGATTTGTGAAGAGCTGTAATAATCATGATAATAATGGCGCATCAGCGCAGCGGACAGGTACGTCTCATTGGCCTTTACATGTGATATGCAGGTTTTCTCATGATAGTTTCATTAATCACCGAGAACGTAAAAATAGCATAACTTGCACTCTTATGTTCCGGTTTGAAGGGTGTAATTAACAAGTCTAATTGCAGGATGTCAGTCATTTTTTATAAGTCCTCAAAGCCGGCAACGTCTTTTTTGTTTGAAGTTGACTGCAGAAGTCCATGAAGTACAGTAACCAGTTACCATTAGGACTGTAAGTGCATTTGTCATTTTAGTTGTACTAAAAATGTGAAAAATTAGTCGTTATGATTGTAATTTCAGTAGTGTTAACGAGGATTTACCATTATAATCCATTGATTGACTACTAACCAAAAGTCAGTCAACCTTGATAAGTGGCCATGCAGCCGCAGATTTTACGTAGGTACTGAATTATCTTAAAAAAAGCCTCTTCACTCAGGCTGATCCTGTTTTATGTTTTCGGTGAGCCTAACGTGCTAAATCTAACTCGGCCCAAAGTAGAAGGCACAGAATTTTTTCTAGAATAAGGATGACAAACGAGCACGCAGTTCACCTGGTGACTAGTAGAGGCTGTGACCCATAAACCTCTACATTTATCCTTGATTAAGAACCAATATGCAGGTGCGTCGCCAACTCTGAGGACTAAGATGGCATGCCTCGCTTCCAGTAAAAAAAGGGTCTCCGAATCTCTACACTCATCACATGAAGCAGTATTGCTATTTTATGCTGGTATTCTGTGAGAGCGTGGTCCTTCCCCGATCAAGCCGATCCATTCGTACTAAAACTATAAGAAATTCAGTTATTGACTGACTTAAAATTTTTAATATTTCAATTATAATTTTTGGTTATATCTTGGGGTTCACATGTGCTAGGAACTGTACCCGAAACCGATCGTCGGTGTTGGTCATCACCAGAGGGCTGGTGTTTTCTTGCTCATAGCTAAGTATAGCCATTAAGCGAAGAAACGCAGCCAGAATTCTTGATACGATACCACGGGAAGAAATACTGTTAAAATAATTATACCAATGCATCATTGTTTTTTCATTTACGTTCGGCTCTATTGATCAGTTCTATGTAAAAGGCGGCCAAAATATTATAATCAAGGCCATTAGTGTGCTGCTGACTACGTTAAAACACAGAATAAATAATAGGTTTAAGTCAGTTGCTTAGTGTGAAACGTATTATTCTGTCTTGTTTATTGTTATTGTAATCTTTATTGGATTCGCCTGTAAAAGTTTTTGTCCCAGTCATTATTTTACTACCTACCAGTTCTCTTAATTTTGACAATTACAATAGAAATATTTAAAGTAGAATATGCTTAGGATAACAAATTTTACGAACAAAACATTTAAACATGCTGCTAAAGGTGTTTTATGTGCTTTATTAAGGAAAAAACATGTGTGGACAAGTGATAAAATTGTAAAGTCTCCGTTCCAAGACGTCATAATTCCAAACCTAACAGTTGCGGAATACGTATGGAGAAACTTAGATAAGTGGCCAACAAAAACTGCCATGGTAATATCATACAATAATATTGTATTTTAATTTTATATTTTTTAATGAAGCTTTCATCATCATCATGATTAAAGTCTATCAAAAGTTCACCGATAATTATAGGCCTACCAGTGCCTCATAGTCCCCCCCATGATGTACAAATTTTTGTTACTATTTTTAGTTGTTATCAGGAAGATGCTCATCTGTTCATCACCTATTTCATTATTCTCTGTTATCTCTTACAGCACCCACGTTACGGGGTAGTGGATATTCTTACGTCGGCACTTCACGGGAGTAGTAATAATAAATCTTTACTTGATTTGTGTGTGACCTTTCAAAAGACAAATGATATTGCTAAATAATTTTATACGAACAATCTGTTAGGAAAGGGAAATATTTTATTTTTAGAAATACTAGCTAATTTTTTTATGTAATTTATTTGCATCTCGAGCTCGTTTTGGTTAATTTATTTTCGTTTAAAAGACTGTTTTATATAACCCTGTGATTAATGAATGCCTTGTTTTTAGGTAGCTCAGGTGGTACAGGCTACTATCAGATTAAATACTTATAAGTAAATATATTTACATTACTCTCATTTCTCAGAGGGTTTAGGTTAAGGAAATATCAGACTTCACGTGTCTTCAAAATGTTTAAAGACCTACTTTTGTACAATTGCATCCACACCGTCTAGAATCTAGATGCTTGGCGATCCATCACTGTACGTTTGTGGCGGTGCTGTCGTCGCGCCACAAGCGAAACACATCGAAACCTAAATCGCGCTATCAAAGTTCCGAATCAAAAACAGTATATATAGTGTGTGTGCATGCGAACTCAACCCGTCAAGCCAGGTAGGCAAGTAACGTAACCGAGAGTAAACCGGTTTTTTGACTGTACGGGGAGCGCGGCTCAATGCGTGCAAGATAATTATAATGCTATGTATGTTGATGGCATCGGTATACGGTACAGCTGTATAGCTTATGTTTATACTGTAAATAACCAATCAAATATTGTAAAATTATTATCAAAAAACTAGAAAAAAAAATAGAATAGCTCCGAACTATCAAACGGAGTGTTGGCCGCTCTCCGGGCAGAACACCTTGCCCGGCGATCTCTCCTTTTCCTTTCACCGCCGAAGTTACACTATAATAATAGTAGATTTCTTCCGCGTGGTATACTATTCCACAGAGAGGTCCTCTCTGTGGAATAGTAAACTACCGGCGATTTTTCCGGACCGATACGACTTAGGGACCTTCAAGAGCTTACTCCTTTCTAAAAGGCCAGCAACGCACCTGCAATTCCCCTGGTGTTGTAGTTGTTCATGGGCGGTGGTAGTCACTTACCATCAGGTATGGCGTGTGCCCGTTTGCCCCCTTTCCAGTAAAAAATATTTGCAATAGAATAATATACTCTGAGAGTTTTTGAAACTTCTTGGTTGACCTTTACGTCACGTTTCATGCATAGATGCAACAGGTTAAAGATATTATTAAAAATTAAAAAATAAACTAGGTGGTGTACTTCTTTTGCTGTAGATGCAAATATATTAAGAAAACTCATATAAATATTATGTGGAATAATAACAGATTAATATATTTTTTAAAGATATGCAGTGTTACGAATAGGCAGTACACCTATGAAGAAATATATAAACAATCTCATATTCTTGGCGCAAACTTAAGAAAGAAGCTTAAAATCGATAATGGAGATGCTGTAGCAATTATGTTACCCAATTTGCCTGAATACCTAACGGCAGTTTTTGGAGTACTTAACGCTGGAGGTTTAGCTACAACTCTGAATCCAAATTATAGTGCTCGTAAGTTTCAGAATTCATTAATTACAATTAGTTACAGTAAATGTTCTAAATTTACTTTGCGCTTCATTCATTGATTACATAAAATTTTCATAGGGTTGCAAAACCCAAAAACGAAAAGCTGGTCGAACTAAAAGACCTTAGTATAATTTTTACATACTTACACAGTTTGGTTTCTGATGATGTTAATGCTGTTAGCCTTTTGGCTTTTAAAAGGAAACAGATCTCAGGGCCCGCGGCCTGAAAGGCCGCGCTAATTTTACTATTGTGCTCTTCGACTCGCCATGAGTGTTTCAGTATTTGCTTCGTGAATATTAACCTCTCAGGTAGGACCCATTTGTTAAATTGCCACGCACGTGCACTTTTAGATCTTACTGTATTGTTATGTATTGTTATTGTTAGTCAGTGAATGTACCCGTTTGATTGGATATAGAAATAAAAAGGGCCTTCTCTTTCTATTAACGAGTAATGTATCATTGTTAGCGACGACAAGTGAATTTAAAAACATTTAATCTCAATTGTTTCTTATTTGTGATCTAAAACTAAGTGTTAGCAATGAAAAGTGAATTTAAACTTTTAATCTCAATTGTTTCTTATCTTTGATTTAAACTATGTATAAAGACTAATAGCGTTAATACCAAGAAAGTGAATTAATTGCTTATATTAGCTTCAATTCTTATTTTAAAACTGCGTAACGAAAGTTAGTAACAAAGCCTGTAACAAAAATGTGAATCTAATTGCTTATTTAGGTTTAATTAGAATGTTAGAAACAAAATATGAGTTTAGTTACTTTTTAGAACTTTCTCTTATTACAATTTTAAAGAGCTGTATTAGAGACATTAACATTTAAGTGTAAATTTAATGATTTGTTTAATTCTTTTTCTTTTATAGTAATTTAATACGATAATATGTCAATTAATCTCTTTTGTAATCTAATTTCTCATTATAAAAATAGATTGTAATTTAATAAGAAGTTGAAATATATTCTGCATAGAGTATTAAGCATAGTATTATCGTGATAAGCGTTTGTGCGTTCCTGCCGCCTGGCGGCGCTACTTATATGTTGAGCGGAAAAAGCTTAGCTACTCCGGAGCTAAACCGTAAGAAGACCGCGCCACTATTTTTATTTTTTACAAGCATACATTAAGAATTTTATGAATGTTTTATGTTCGGAATAATAAAGATAAGTCATATCTATTGTCAGGAATGTATAAAAATATTGTAAGATATGTTTTACCACACTTATTAAAGAAATTTGTAAATTTCCTTTAGAAAAGGTTGTTCTGCGCTCTGATTGGTCGACGGGGATCATTAGTGCCGTGTGCAAATTCATTAGTGCCGCGCGCAAATTTTCTTAATTCTGGTCACAGCTGCCTATAAAAAAAGGGGCGTTTTTTGTGGTAAAACATTCCAAATGGCAATGTAAGAATAAGGAATCAAGAAAATAAATAAGAAGAAACTCTGAAGAAGTTTTATTTATTGCTCATCTAACTGCAACTGCATGCTCACCAGTTAACATCCCGCCAGCATAACCCGCTTCATTTACTAACATTCTCACACACGAACATCTACATTGGTCCTTCAAAAAGCCGGATCGGGTTTTAAGGAAATTTCAAGAGCATCGCCCAGCAGCCGTACACAGACAACCCGTACTATTTAATAAGAACATTGCCGGAAAGGAATCAACACCGGGGGACGTAACCCATACCACCTCTCCCGACCCGCACCATCGAAGCGCCAGTTCCTCACCAAGAAGAGAGTCATCCAACGCCGCAGATTCAAGAAAGAAGTATCGCGGTGAAGACATGTCTGAACGAAGAAAGCATACCAACGTCCAGAGAAAAGAGTCTGCAGCACCCTCCCGCGATCCAGACAAACTTTCCGTTCGCTCGTCGCATAGGAAGAGAGCAGAAGCGCAAGCAAAAATGACAATGGCATTAAAGGAACTAGAATTGGCAGAAGCTCGGTCAAAAGTTGCTCAAGCGGAATTAGAACTTCTCACCGCGGAGTCAGAAGAAGAAGATGGTGCCGGAGAAGAGCTATTTGAACGAACACGAGAAGTCGAGCGGTGGTTCATCCAGACCGGAGACATGCCTAATAAGAACCACAAACCAATAGAGGCAGAAGAAAAGAAGAGTGACATCCAGGAACTAGCTTCAGTCATACTCAAGCTATCCGAAAAGTCACGTGACACCGTTTCACCGAAGCACCTCGAACTCCCTCACTTCAACGGGGCCTGTGAAGAATGGTTGGCCTTCAAAAGATCATACGAGGATATGGCCGCTTCTTTCAGTAACAATCAGAACCTAGCACGCCTTAGAATAGCAATCCAAGGAAAATGCTAGAGAAGCCGTCCTGCTGTTCACCGCCGAAGACCCACGCGAAGTAATCAAGGGACTAGAAGCAAGATTCGGAAGACCTGGAGCACTGGCATTAGCAGAACTAGAGAAAATGAAGAACCTCCCATGAGTCGGCGAGAACCCGAGCGACATATGCATATTTGCGAGCAAAGTAAAAAACGCAGTTGAGACAATCAAAGCCCTGAAGAAACCGCAGTATCTCAGTTCATCTGAAACGTTGAGAGTTATAGTAGACAAGATGCCGACATCAATGAAGTTCTGTTGGCTCGCCTACCACAGAAGCAGAAGAGATGAAGAAATTCAGGAGCTATAACTCGTCGAAGCGTTCCTAGAAACAGAAGCCGACATGTGCGGAGACTTTGCTCCGCCTGAAGCATCCTCAGAACAAAGAAGAGGAATAAGAAAACCCGTTCATTTGGTACAAGAAGCGTCAAAAGAAAAATATAAGAAATCATGTCCGTTCTGTGAGGAAGAACACTTCGCACTAGAATGCAAAGAGTTCAAAGAAGCCAACCTGAATGGAAAATGGGATATGACCAAGAAGGCAAAGATATGCTTCAAGTGCCTTCGATTCATGCACTCAAGGATGAACTGTAAAGCACCAGTCTGCAAGCTGTGTAAAAGATGGCATCATACCATCTTATATTCTGACAAACCACCAGCACCGATAGAAAAAGAAGCAAAAAATATCAGTAGCACTTCAGAAGAAAAGGTCGCCTCAATTCATAACGCCAAAGGGGAAGAAAAGGCCTACCTGAAGATGATCCCAGTGAACCTCTATGGCCCAAAAGGACAAGTTCGCGTATTAGCACTACTAGACGAAGGGTCAGCGGTCACACTCTTAGACGCATCAATTGCTGAAAAAATCGGAGTCGAAGGGAAGCAAGAAAAACTCACGATCGAAACAGTCGGCGGGAAAGTGTTAAGAAAAGATAGTTCACAGAAGATCGAGTTCAAAATAAAAGGAGCTCATAGAAAAGAAAAGAGGACTATCGTAGCGAGAACCATCGAAGACCTGAAGCTGTCTGAACAATGTATAAACAAGGACACCGTGAGAAACTGCGAGCATCTGAAAGCAATTGAAAGCCAACTCTTCTACGTCACCGAGAGACCCAAGCTACTGATAGGCCTACAAAGACAATTGGGGACTGATAGTGACAAGGAAGCTGAAGAAGGGCAAGCCGTCAGATCCTGTAGCTTCTCTCACGAACTTAGGGTGGGTGTTACACGGATGTGAAACAGGAGCAACTGCCACAGTAAACTTCACTCATTATGGCAGAGCGACCACTGGCGAAGAAGACATAGAACAAATCGTCCGAGAACACTTTCAGTTAGAATCTCTCGGGATCCAGAATTGATCGCCATTCAACGACAGCGATAGAAAAGCATTAGAAACCCTTGAAAAGACTACGAAGAAACTGCCAAGCGGTCAATATGAAACGGGACTCCTATAGAAAAAAGAAGAAGAAGCAGTATAGAATGTAGGGGTGTTTCGTTAATATTCTAAAAATTTTAGCGAAACCCTACCCAACAATTACAATCAAGCAGTCCGACGCCTGGTCAGCATCGAAAAGAAATTTCATCAAGACCAAGAAGCAAAAAGGTACTACGAGGAACAGATCCTGAGTCTGATCGAAAAAGGATACGCAGAGATAGCTCCAGAGACCTCCAACAAAGGAAGAACGTTCTACTTACCCCACTTCGCTGTTGTGCATCCAGTTAAGAAGAAGCTGAGAATAGTGTTCGACGCAGCTGCCAAGTATGAAGGAAAGAGCCTCAACGACGCCTTGCTCTCGGGCCCAGACCTGTTACAATCGCTATTTGGAGTACTGTTGCGCTTCAGAGAGGGACCGGTAGCCGTCATGGCCGACATACAAGACATGTTCCTCCGAGTCAAAGTTAGAGAGGACGACCGAGACAGTCTCAGGTTCCTGTGGCGCGGAAGCCGAAGAAATGTCAAGCCTGAAGAGTATATAATGTCTTCATTCGTCTTTGGAGCAGCGTCATCACCGGCAACAGCGATATACGTAATGAATAAGAACGCAGAGGAATTTAAGAACACTCATCTCGAAGCAGTGAAAGCAATTAAGAGAAACCATTACATGAACGACTATCTGCAGAGCTTCGCGTCTACAACTGAAGCAAAGAAGATATCCAAAGAAGTGAAAGACATCCACGCAAGAGCAAACATTCATCTGAAGGGTTGGGACAGTAACAATTCAGGGGTAATATCAGAAGTAGAAGACACCAATAAAGAAAACTATTTACAGCTGACCAAAGAAGAGAAGACTCTGGGACTAAGATGTCTAGTGAAAGAAGATGCATTAACCTTCAACGTCGGGTTACGCAACACGCCAGAGGACCTGCAAGATGGCAGAAGAACTTCAACGAAGAGAGAAGTCACAAGCGCAGTGATGTCCACCTTCGATCCAATGGGTTTTGCAACACCGGTTCTAATAGAATGAAAGAAACTAATCCAAGACATCTGGCGAAAGAAAATAGACTGGGATGAACCAATTAACGAACAAAAAAAGGAAGCCTGGATGAAATACTTAGAGGAAGTATCAACATTAACAAGGCTGAAGATCCCAAGATGCGTCTCGCCCAAAGGCAGAAAAGGATAGTTACATGCATTCACCGATGCGAGTGAAGAGGCCTATGCAGCAGTAGTCTACTGGAGAATAGTCGAGCCTGGAGGAAAAATCCATGTCTCCATGATCGCCGGCAAAGCAAGAGTAACGCCGACAAAACCAGTATCAATTCCGAGGCTAGAGCTACAAGCGGCCTTACTCGGAAGCAGACTAGCCGCAACATTTGAAGAGGATTCAGAGCTCGAAATATCAAAAAAGATTTACTGGGCCAACTCCAGCACAGTACTGCAGTGGATAAAGTCGGAACCAAGAAAATTCAAAACCTTCGTGGCCAACCGACTCGCCGAGATCGAAGAGAAGTCCAAACCAGAAGACTGGAGATGGGTACCAACTAAGGAGAACCCAGCAGACGACGCCACGAGGGGACCCCCAATCAAATTCGACCCCAACGCCAGATGGTTCAAAGGCCGTCATTTCTCCGTCAACCAGAAGAAGAATGGCCGTTTCACGACTTCAAACCAGAGAGTATTATGCCAGAAGAAAAGCACAAACAGAAAGTGTTGGCAACGATGGCAGCAGAAGACATCCTTTTAAATCCGGAAAGGTTCTCGAGCTGGGAGCGACTGCTGCATACTACAGCCAGAGTGGTTGCCTTTGCACACTACCTATTAAAGAAGAGCCGTAGAGCGACCACCAATGCCACGCACCAGAAGAATGAGCCTTGGAAACCACAACAGAAAACCCAGAAGAAAGAAGCACACGCCTCAAACCCGTCGACCAACAAAAACGAAAATAAGCGCCTATACCTACCTGTAGAAGAAGAGCACCTAAAGAAGGACGAAGAATTATTAATGAAAATAAGCCAGAGCGACAGTTTTGCGTCAGACATAAGAAAATTGAAGACAGAAAAACCTCTAGAAAACTCAAGTCTAGTCAAGTTTACATTGGAGACGATGGAATCATCAAGTTAAGGAGTAGGACAATGAAATTCCACGACCAAATCGAAAGAAGGATGAATCCTATCGTACTAGACGGGAAACAAAAAATAACCTGTTTAATAATACAATACTATCATAAGAAATTCCTTCACGGAAACACTGCTACAGTAATGAACGAAATTCGTCTAAAATTCTGGATCTTGGGTTTAAGAGCAACTTTAAAAGCGGTCGCACACAGCTGTCAATGGTGCAAGACAAAGAAGAGTTTACCAGAGATACCCCGACGGGAGATCTACTAGACTAGAGACTACAGCATCATCAGTTTCCGTTCTCCTGCACGGTCGTAGACTACTTCGGGCCGATGCAATTCACCATCGGAAGAAGAACTGAGAAGCGCTGGGGAGCTTTATTCACCTGCCTCACTACTAGAGCAGTACATCTAGAGCTAGTACCTTCTCTCAGCACTAGCTCAATGATCATGACACTCCGACGAATGGCAGCCAGAAGAGGGACCCCGAAAACTATATTCAGCGACAACGGAACTAACTTCGTCGGGGCAAAAAGGGAATTAGAAGAGGCCGCACAAGAAAAAGGCATCAAGTGGAAGTTCATCCCCCCGGGTGCTCCGAATATGGGAGGCGCCTGGGAGAGACTCGTACGAACAGTCAAGACGGCGCTAGCAGTAGTTCTCAACGAGAAGAGCCCGCCCGAGGAGGTACTCCATACGCTAATGACCGAGGTTGAACATATCGTCAATTCGAGACCTCTCATCCCCGATCAACATGGACCCAGAAGACGAGGAGAGCCTAACACCGAACCACTTTCTACTGGGAAGATCATGCGGAGCGATGGCGCCGGGAGAGTTCAGTGACACGGAGCTCATCGGAAAAGCAAACTGGAGAACCACTCAAAGACTCGCAGACCACTTCTGGAAAAGATGGATTAAAGAATATTTACCTCTCCTGATGCCAAGGAAACTCGAGAGGGGAGAAACCAGAGACCCAAGAGAAGGAGACATCGTGCTGATAGTGGACGCTACGTTATCACGAAACTCATGGCCTCGCGGAGAAGTTACCTATCCCGGATCAGACGGAAGAACCAGGGTGCTAGACGTGCGGACATCAGGTGGAATACTTCGCCGACCAACTCGACGTGTCGTCGTGCTGGTGCCAGCGGAGTCGTCGTCTCCAGAAGATGAAGTGCTACGCACCGTGGGGGAGAATGTTAGCGACGACAAGTGAATTTAAAAATATTTAATCTCAATTGTTTCTTATTTGTGATCTAAAACTAAGTGTTAGCAATGAAAAGTGAATTTAAACGTTTAATCTCAATTGTTTCTTATCTGTGATTTAAACTAAGTATAAAGACTAATAGCGTTAATACCAAGAAAGTGAATTAATTGCTTATATTAGCTTCAATTCTTATTTTAAAACTGCGTAACGAAAGTAACAAAGCCTGTAACAAAAATATGAATATAATTGCTTATTTAGGTTTATTTAGAATGTTAGAAACAAAATATGAGTTTAGTTACTTTTTAAAATTTTCTCTTATTACAATTTTAAAGAGCTGTATTAGAGACATTAACATTTGTGTAAATTTAATGATTTGTTTAATTCTTTTTCTTTTATAGTAATTTAATACGATAATATTATGTCAATTAATCTCTTTTGTAATCTAATTTCTCATTATAAAAATAGATTTTAATTTAATAAAAAGTTGAAATATATTCTGCATAGAGTCTTAAGCATAGTATTATCGTGATAAGCGTTTGTGCATTCCTGCCGCCTGGCGGCGCTACTTATATGTTGAGCGGAAAAAGCTTAGCTACTCCGGAGCTAAACCGTAAGAAGATCGCGCCACTATTTTTATTATTTACAAGCATACATTAAGAATTTTATGAATGTTTTATGTTCGGAATAATAAAGATAAGTCATATCTATTGTCAGGAATGTATAAAAATATTGTAAGGTATGTTTTACCACACTTATTAAAGAAATTTGTAAATTTCCTTTAGAAAAGGTTGTTCTGCGCTCTGATTGGTCGACGGGGATCATTAGTGCCGTGTGCAAATTCATTAGTGCCGCGCGCAAATTTTCTTAATTCTGATTGGTAACAGCTGCCTATAAAAAAGGTGGCGTTTTTTGTGGTAAAACATTCCAAATCCGGCAATGTAAGAATAAGGAATCAAGAAAATAAATAAGAAGAAACTCTGAAGAAGTGTTATTTATTGCTCATCTAACTGCAACTGCATGCTCTCCAGTTAACATCCAGCTAGCACAACCCTCTCCATTTACTAACATTCTCACACACGAACATCTACAATCATTCTGATTTGTTTGTTTTATAATTGCAGATGAAGTTCATAGACAAGTTTTAATGTCGAACACAAAGTTAATTTTTGTCACACCTGAAGTGGTTCCAACAGTTAAAAAAGCATTAGATTTATGTAAAAGAAATATTCCGATTGTCGAAGTTAATTTTAATGGTAATCTACAAGAAGGAACAATATCTTTTAAGGAACTAGTAGAGGATAACTATGTTGATCTCAACATTCTAAAGGAAGTTAAAAGAAGTGCTGAAGATGTTGCGTTTTTACCTTACTCCAGTGGTACGACGGGCTTACCTAAGGGCGTAGAACTGACAAACAGAAATATTATTGCCAACGCGGAGCAACAGAATAATGAATTAAGATTTTATGCATACACTACAGGTAACTTTCATATTATGTCATATTTCTAAATAAATTTAAATCTACTTTATTTTTAAGTTTTAGGTTTGAACATAGGATTTTTTTCATATAATACATATCTGAACTCTCAAGGGTTTATCCAGAAAGATTGACAGAAATTACGGATTTAAAATTGGCACGATTCTGACACATCTTATAATTATCTAAAGTTTATACGAAATGTCGTGTATAGTATATGTATATTTAAGATTTTTAATATTTTTTGTTTCTTAAATCCCCGCATACTACTGCTGAATATGGGCCTCTCCTAAGGGAAGGAGATTTTACTAGGTGGTAGGATAAACCTTTGAAGTAAAAACTTCTTTATCGTTGTGATTTGAAACTCAATGAAATACCAAGCGACACTAAAAAGAGATAAAAATATACATCCATGGGATTTAGCCTGCAAGAGAATTAGATAAAATTCACTGCAGATAGCGCATTCAAAAGGTTGCGGGTACGATTCCGAGATTCGACAACTGTCTATTTTTCTTAAAAAATAGTGTTTGCTACTATCTTGGTATCATTTTTGTGCATAGTTTTAAAGATGTTTAATAAAATTTTAACTGTTTTAAATAGACAATATAAAAAATTACAAATTTATTAAATAAATAAAATAAATTTAACCATATTGACTAAAATTACCTTAATATACTTAACAATAATTTAAAATAAATTAATTTAAATTATAACAATCCACGATTTCATAACTTCAGACCATCCAGCGTTATACTTATCACATTAAGAGTCAATCAATTTTTGTTCGATAAATTGACTTTGCCAAGTAGATAGCGCTATTACAAAACAATGTTACTTGAAATATATTTTTTTTAATTTATTACACTAAAATTTTAGTCTAAAAATTAGGATTGTAACATTTATTTAATATAAAATTAAACTTTAATCTTATATTCAATGCGCTTTCGTTGTGAAAATGATCATATAAAATTAATCATTAACCTTGAAATATTTTTATTTTATATTTCATTTCATTTCAAGGTTTCAATCCGGCGTGTAAGCTTCAAATATGTTTTTTTTTTTGCCTAGTAGTCTGTCCAACATCATCCTTATTTCTGCCACCAAAAGTGTGTCTGCTTCAGTACTGTATTCCAATTTGCTGATATATCTGCTTGATAAATATGGCATCTTATTCCAAGCCTGGCTAGAAACTAACGTTTCGGACTTTAAGAGCTGAAGACTGGCCCTCATCCAGCCCACACCTCAACCCTTTAAACTATGGAAATATAAGTTTAGTAATATAACATTACATCATTAAAAAATGCATTTTCATTTGTAACAGAACTTATGGCCGCACTAGGTCTAGAGACTGCAGTAGTTTAACCATCAGGTGTAATTGCATTTTACCATGAACTCGTTCTAGTTTTTCCTCCTATTCTTATGACAGTCCTATTTCTTATGACAGTTAGAGGATTAAAGGGAGCGATGGAATAAGCAGCCACCGAAACGATATTTCTTAAAATTAACTGAGTGAGTTTAACTGAGTGTAACATATGCTCCAGGCGTGTAGTGGCGATTGATAATCTTCCCATGGGTGTCGTAAAAGGCGACAGAGGGAAACAGACAGGAAATGGGCAGCAGCATCTTCCTAATAACAACAATAATATAATAAAAAACTGCGGTTGTAGACCCGCTCGCCAAGCGTGGCAACTATGGCAAATATCGCCCCATGAGTAACGACGCAAACAAACGGCCCCCAGTCCCCGGCGGCCCCGCTATTCCTGGCTACGGTAGCGACCATGGTAACGGCGGGGCAGGGGGTGCTAAGAATTTCCGGTGGAGGTTCGGTTGCCACCTACGACGACTCGACCTGGCATCATATAACGCACGCACCCTGAGGACTGACGAGAGGATACTGGAGTTGGAAGTTATTGGATTATCCGAGGTCCGAAGAGAGGTTGAGGACACGGTAATCCTTGAGTCCGGCAACTTGTTCTATCACCGGGAGGGCGACCATCTGTCCCAAGCGGTATATATCTATGAAAATTTGATGTATGTTCACAAAAATAAAGGTACTTTTAGTAAAAAAAAACCTTTAGTAAAGTGACATACACTCTCTAAACACTAGGAACAAACACAAGCTGGTGCTACCAGTTTCTCGATTCCACAGAGTGAGTAATTCATTCTTGAGGCAATGTATACGCTATTACAACAAAGCCCCAGAAAATATACAAGGTCTCTCTATTACCAAGTTTAAATATTTAATTAAACAAAAACTGTATAAAAAGGGTTCTTATGATATAAATAAATACATGGTTGATAATAACCCTTGGGAATGAGGTTGTTGTTTCCGAGCTGTTTCTAAAATAAATTTTGTAAATATTTTGTGACCCTTGACATTGTAAAAATTTATTTTAAAAAAAAGTCCCGCTGGGTTTCTTGCTAGTTCTTCCCAGGACAGAGGTTTTTTTTACGAACCAGTGGTAACGTAAAATATTGACTTTCAATAAGAATTACTTGTAATCTATATTGAATAAAAAAATTATTTTATTTTATTTTTATTTTATTTTTATTTTAAGGAGGTGTCGGATTTATTGTCCGCAAGTCTCTCGTCAACAACAGATTGGGAGTGTCTCGATGAGGGTTGCGTACCTGATAGTCAGAATCACCAAACGGTATTCGCTGAAGGTCATACAGATTTACGCACCTACCTCGGCACATCCCGATGCCATGCATTCCTCCAAAACCCAATATATGGTGTTGATGGGAGACTTCAACGCAAAACTAGTCAGAAGAGAAAGTGGTGAGCTGAAGGTAGGGAAATTTGTAATAGGGCAACGGAACCCAAGGGGCCAGCAGCAGGCCGACTTCATGAAGAAAGAGGAACTCTTTATAATAAACTCTTTCTTCCACAAGCGGCCTCACAGGAAGTGGACCTGGCTGAGCTCTTGAGATTTCACTTCATTATGACGAGCAGATGCCAACCGTTCAGTGATGTCTCAGTGATTGCGAGGGTGAAAACTGGCATCAATCACCGAATGTTTAGAGGAAAATTCAAAAATTCAACGCTCTGTCCCCCTCGCGCTCTAACTCAGAGTCCCGAAACCTTTTAGCTCGAGTTACAAAACCGTTTTCAGTGCCTAGAAGATTGCAATGCAGTGGACGATATGAACAACAAGCTCGTGGAAACTGTCCAAGCGGTCGGAGCTAAGTTCTGTAAGACCCACCGCAGAAGAACACAAAAACTCTCCAATTACACTCTTAATTCAGATTTGACTGCATACAGGCAACTGAATAGACAGATCTCCAAATTCATGCGGCGGGGTTTACGTAACTTCAATACAGCTCGTATTGAAGAAGCGATTGAGCGGAACCAGGGCTCAAAAGTCTTTGCCAGAGATCTGTTTGCCAGAAAGAGCTAACTGTCGAAGCTGAAGACCGAGTGTGGCAGCATCGTTTCCGGGACACCTGAGATTTTGAGTGAGATTGAGAGGTTCTATGGGCAGCTGTACATGTCATTGTGAGAGAGTGAGTAACGATCCAAGAGCAAGTCTTATCCGTCACTATTCCGATGATATCCCGGACGTCAGTCTGGGCGAGATTAGAATGGCTCTCCAGTACCTTAAAAACGGCAAGTCTCCGGGTGAGAATAGAATTACAGCGGAGCTTCGGAAAGCGGGTGGAAAACTGATACTTCAAGTCTTTCAGAAGCTCTTTTATTCCGTTCTGGATAGTGGCTTTACTCCCGAGGCGTGGTGCAGAAGTGCGGTGGCCTTGTTCTTCAAGAAAGGTGACAAAGCTATCTTGAAGAACTACAGACGGATATCCCTTCTGAGCCGCATCTACATGCTGTTTTCGAGAGTCATTGCGAATCGTCTCGCACGTAGACTCGACGACTTCCTGCCTCCCGAACACGCCGGTTTCCGAAAAGGCTTTAGCAGCATGGACCACATACTTACCCTGCAGCAGATTGTACAGAAGACCTAAAAGTACAATCTGCCACTTTGCTTGGCGTATGTGGACTATGAGAAAGCCTTTGATTCCATCGAAATTTGGGCAGTGCTACAGTCTATTCAGCGGTGCCAAGTTGACTGTCGGTATATCGAAGTGTTGGTACAGTAGGGCTACGACTGCTATCCGAGTGCAGAACCAGAGTACAAAACCTATCCAACTGCAGAGAGGTGTAAGACAGGGTGACGTTATTTCCTTGAAACGCTTCACCGCTGCACAAAACGTTTTCAAGCTACTGGACTGGAAAAGATACGGTATTAACATCAATGGCGAGTAAATCACTCACCTTTGTTTCGCCAACGATATAGTCCTCATTGCAGCATCGCTGGAGGACCTAAACACTATGCTCAATGACCTCAATAGTGCCTCCCAATGGATAAGTCTTAATGCGTAACGTCCATGTCACACCTATGCCGGTAGTTATTGGGAGCACTAAGCTCGAAGTTGTTGACGAGTATGTTTATGTGGGAGAAATAGTCCAACCAAGTTAATCCAACTTGGGCCGGGAGGTCCATCGACGGATTCAACTCGGCTGGGCAGCGTTCGAGAAATTACGACACATCTTCTCGTCAGCTATACCTCAAAACCTGAAAACGAGACTGTACAACCAGTACGTGTTGCCAGTGATGACTTATGGAACCGAGACGTCACTTCACTGCTGTCCGTATGAGGACGCTCAAGGTCGCCCAGCGAGCTATGGAGAGGGCTATGCTCGGAGTTTCTCTGCGTGATAGAATCAGAAATGAGGATATCCGCAGTAAAACCAGAGTGACCGACATAGCCCAACGGATTGGTAAGCTGAAGAGGCGATGAGCCGGCCATATAGCTCGATGAACAGACAACCGTTGGGGAAAAAAGGTTCTCGAGTGGCAGCTTCGTATCGGTAGATGGTGTAGGGGACCCCCCACTAGATGGAGTGACGACCTGGTAAGACATGCAGGAAGTCAATGGATGCAGGTGGCTCAAGACCGTGTTTTGTGGCATTCCTTGAGGGAGGCCTATGTTCAGTAGTGGACTTGTGAAGGGCTGTAATGATGATGATGATGAATATATACTCATCAAGTATTTGACCACCAGTTTCATTTAGGTTAGAACTTTTGTTACTTTAAAGATAAGTTTAATTTATATTATATTTAAATTTGATTAAATAAATTACATTAAGTCCATTTTTGTTTAAGTATATTTAATTTTACTATGTTAAGCACTTTTAATTTATATCAACAGATTCGCATCAAGATAACTTATTGGTTTGCTTGCCAATGTTCCATTCATATGGCTTATCAATTCTGGCACTACATAAATTCTCCGTTGGTTTAAAATTGGTAACACTGCCAAAGTTCCACCCAGAAACGTTTGTACAAGCGCTGTCGAAGTTTAATTTTAATTTACTTTACTTGGCACCACCAATAGGTAAATTACATTTTATATATGAAATATGCACATTCACACACCTAGCGTGCGTATATATTATTATAATCTAAAGTATGCACCACCTGTGAGGTTAAAATAGCAAACACAAAAAAGCACTACAAATATGAGGTAAAATACCAGGTCTGGTGGACAAGGGTTCAGTAATCAATTCTGTAGAAAGAAAAGCTGATCAGCAAGCATAATATTCACGCAGTTTGTGGATTGTGACCCTTTATTCAATTACATGAAGTTGTTCACTTTCATAAATTTATCTTTCACGGAGTATTCTTAATTCGTAAAGTTCCAATTTTATTTCATAGTCTACGTACTCGTATTTGTTTAAAAACTGCATATAAATAATTTAAATAAAAAAAGTAAATATGGGTACAAGTTATGAGTATAAGTTGTATGTGCTATTGTGTAGCAAAAATGATGCGACTTTTTTAAAAATAATAATATAATGTCCTTAACTTTGATCACGGCGGTCCCCCTCAATGGAGACTAGTTTTCGGTGCAGGACAGGATTATAGTGCCATAGTGCATGCGCAAACAAAGGTACACTCTCCATTCTATCATTCTCATAGTCCGATGGGACGATAAAGCGACACGACCGGAGAGAGATCAAGGGCAGGACCAACGGCTTTACGTGCTTTCTGAGGCACGGGGGTGAGACACCGCCAAACTTCTTGACTTCGGGCAGCTGCTGAGAATTTCTTGAAGCAAAAACTCAATAACTGTTTTTTTGGCCCGACCTGGAATTTGAAAGCGTTTACATCCACTAGACCAATGAGGAGTCAGTAAATAGATAGTATCAAATATACTAATATAAATATATCGATACAATATAGTGTTGCTTTGTCATTATTACTCCAATGTGAGTTATTGCTATTTCGAAATATCGCCCTGTCGGTGTAAGAGCATTCACTACTTTATATCATTGCGTACGAATCTTAAGAGGCGACAGAGGTAGCCTGCAGCATCTGCAGGAGGTAACCTGCAGCATCTTTCTGATAACAACTGAAAAAATAAAATCCTGTGGTTGCCAACCCGCTCGCCAAGCATGGCAACTATGACAAATAGATAGATGCAATGATTATGATGATGACTATTTAGAAAGGTTGATAAAAAAATACAGTCACTATTGTTATCTCCATTAATATAACGATTAATTAAAATACTGATAAGTATTGTCACATTGAAATAATACTAGTTTTTACGGATTTTATCGCGTATATTTAACTTTTTAAATACCCGACGTTTCGACCGCTTTACAGCACCCATGGTCACTGAGGGAACTGATATGTTAAACGTCCAGATGTCATAGTTACCCGCGGTTACCATATATTAAAATTTTACTTTTGTTCCGATCTACACAGTATGAACTTATGGTATCTTGAAGTCTTGCAGTTGTATGCTTAGGTTGGGATTTAATTTTATTTATTACAGGATCCCAAGCAGATGGTAGCACCCAACCGTCTTCTCTATTGAAATTAGGATGTTTTTTGATTTCAATAGCCTCGTGAATCATCATTGGAAGCAATCGATGTTCTTAAGCGAGGATTTGTGGTCTATCAAATCTGATGTTGTGACGGGGCGATCCTGTACAAGTTCACAGACTGCAGACTTCCCGGAACGTCGATTCTTTACATCAGCCATATGTTCTTTAAGGGTTTCGGTTCTTTAACGGCGCGGGTTTTAATTGATCCATCAATCGATCAATTAAAACTCCGCGTTAAAGAACATATAGCTGATTTGAAGAATCGATGTTTTGGGAAGTTGGCAGTCTGTGAACACGTACTGGATAGCCCCTGTCAATACATCAGATTTGATAGACCACAAATCCTCGCTAAAGAACACCGATTCTTTCCAAGGATGATTCACGAGGCTATTGAAATCAAAAAACATCCTAGTTTCATAGAGAAGATGGCTGGGTGCTACCATCTGCTTGGGATCCTATAATAAATAAAATTAAATCCCAACCCAAGCATACAACTGCAAGTCTTCAAGATACCATAAGTTCATACTGTGTAGATCGGAACAAAAGTAAAATTTTAATCTATGGTAACCGCGGTTAACTATGACATCTGGACGTTTAACATCTCAGTTCCCTCAGTGACCATGGGTGCTGTAAGGCGGTCGAAACGTCGGGTATTTAAAAAGTTAAATATACGCGATAAAATCCGTACAAACTAGGATTATTTAAATGTGTAGTGTTCGCATAAATATAAAAAATCATTAAGTTTTGTCACGGTCATCATCATCGTTGTCATTACAGCCCATTACAAGTCAGCTGGTGTGGCACAAAACACGGTCCTGAACGGCTTGCAACTAGCGGCTTCTTTCATTCCTGTCTTAGAAGGTCGTCACTCCATCGCGTTACTTTGGGTTTACTGTGGATATTCTCATTACGAACTATATTACGCAAACTACGTTTTAATTTATTGTGTGACGCAATGAAACTAAGTATCCTCGCTGAATATAAGTCAATAGATTATTAATACGCCAAGCAGTGAAAGTTCACGTTTTATCACCATTTGATATTTTATTGTCATTGGTACTCAAAATTGATTGGGAAGACTCCTCTTATAAAAGAGTTCGCAATATTACCAGTTGGCGTATATAACATCACAACGATTTTTTTTAAATATAAAAACACATGTATCTTGTTAGGTATATTGACAACTAATGAAAATTCTCAAGGAACATGCAAGTACCTTTAATATAGTTCATGATTTTAGTTCATAAAATAAATACATATGTTTAAAGGCATTCATACATTAATAATGCATAGTTTTTGATTTGGAGTTAACCAACAAAAATAAATTATTTTCTAGTCGCGGGTTTTTTTTAAATTAAATTTTATTGTAAGCATTATAACCGTGAAAATAAAAACCAAAATAATCACAAAAAATATATAATGATTTCTTATATTTACGCGAACATTGCACATGATTAAAACTACTTTTTACGGATTTTATCGCGTTTATTTTTACTTTTTTATTTTTAATTCCCGACGTTTCGGACGCTTTCCAGCACCCATGGTCACGGGGGACTGAGATGACTGACGTCCCGATGTCATTGTTAACCCGGAGTACCTTCAGCTTCAACAATAATTAAAAAAGCTGAAGGTACTCCGGGTTAACAATGACATCGGGACGTCCGTCATCTCAGTCCCCCGTGAACATGGGTGCTGGAAAGCGTCCGAAACGTCGGGAATTAAAAATAAAAAGTAAAAATAAACGCGATAAAATCCGTAAAAGTAGTTTTAATCATGCACAAAAATATATTTTTCAGTTATATTCCTCGGTACACATTCTCAAGTGGTTTCCAAATACTTTGAACATTTAAGATGTGTTACATGTGGAGCTGCTCCGTTACCTATGGCTGATATTCGAAAGTTCTTAAATAAAGTTCCCGTAAGATATAATTTGTATTACTTTTAGTTTTAATGGCAGATGTGGTGGCTTAATTATACATATGATGATTTAGTAGTTCAAACTTTAAGGTATACTATTTCGAATTAGCTATTTGATATCTGTATGCGTTCGTAGTGAAACACTCCCCCCCCTCTTAATATATATTATTTAAGATTAATTATAATTAATTTCCCCTTTTTAATAAAATTATATATATGTGACCAGGATAAATAAAATATGTTTGATCTTTCTAAATGATCTTTCTACAGGTTTAATAATAGGCCGTTTGTAATATTTTTGGCGTGATCGTCTTAGTAAGGACTTTTATTTACGTAGTGTTTGTTAAGTAACTTAGTTATTTTAGGTGTCTTTTGGAAGAATGAATATTCACTACAGCAATTTAAAGCTGTTGGCAGTGCCTTATAAGCTAAGTAAACCCCGTTCACGACGACAGGGCTCGAGAAATGTTAAGAACATAAAAACGTTCCTATTCCACTTGTATCAGGTTTACATTATTAATTCATTATTATTTATCCCTTCCCGCTTGTGAAAGGCTCACAATATGTATATATACAAAAATATCCGATTCAAGGGTTTCGCTCTCCCACATTTATTTAACAGAATTGGGGAAGCACACGACTCCACACACCGTGAGCGCCAACCATATTAATGCGCTCCCCTCGAAGGGAACGTTAAATTGGGAACTGGACCGTAGTCCACAGCAAAATAACTGACGAACCAGTAAAAGAAGCTCGGCCCCTTGGTAGTGCGTAAGCACAAACATCGACAGAAGCCGCGCATGTATATGCTTGTAAACGCCATACAGAATATGAACGACTCCAGCCAAAATTAATGTACGCCACACGGTTTAGGCAAATAGGCACACTGGCCGTAAGCCCTCCGTGAACGCCTGCCAGACCGCCGCTCCTGCAGACGTGATGTAAGTGTATGGCACCACCATCATGCAATTGGCATAATCAGCACGGCTACTAGCCGCAGAGCGTGTCATGAGTCTACCGCTCACCTCAAGGGAATGGGGTCCCACGTTGTGCGGCTTTCGGTCGCAGCCTTGAGAGTCTCCTCAGATCCTCCTGCCAGCTACCACCCGCATGAGGTCGACACATATGCTCCACCAACCAATATAACGAACGACAGATATTGCCAAAAGTCAGTTATAAGATAAGAGTAATAATTCACCATCAGAAAGGGTTTGTGTCACTGACGTTGAGTAAATACATTTTTGATCATGTTTGCCTCGCCCACCAACAAGCTGCCTTCAATCATTCAAAGGTGGGAAAGTTACAGAGATATATTATTATGTTGTTATATAAAACATCGTGGAGGGCAGACAGTCTGCAGCCCCGTAATGAAGGAACCCGACTTGGGCAAAGCTACTTAGTTGTGAGTCAAACCAAGACGCAGACAGCGCCATTGAGAATAGCGTCCCACCAAACAACCATCGCAGAGACGCAATGCTGCAGAATGCAACAAGCATCAATACGACTATCGTCGGGCTTACACCATCCCAAGGTCCCCCATACATCTCAGCAGACATCACCACCCGCATACCTCCATCGACCAGAACCACAAGAATGCGTCGAATCAGGCGCAGCACACCCGCAGATCCACCACAAGACGCAATACCGCAAGAAGCAGTAAGCATCAATGCAACTATCATACGGATGGCGCCCCCTCAACACACCTACATGATCCCTATCGACTTTGGTAACAAAGTTTGTATTGTTGTTAACTAAAAAATATCACCAACGTATCATAGTAGCACGCTACTAAGACGCCAATGAACGAAACTCCACGTATCATAGCGCTAATGCACTAAGACATGAAGTTCAGTATGCTGGTCACACTTAAAAGTGCTACCAAACACACTCATCTTCCCAATCCGAAAGATAGACAACGCATCGCTATGAGCTACGACGTCGCCCACCAACGATATGGGTGTGCAATGACCACGGGAAAGCCGTATTGCTACAATAAACCCGCCTACCACCGGCACTAATATGTTAACTAAAAACTGCACCAACGTATCATAGTAGCACGCTACTAAGACGCCAGTGGACTAAACTCCATGTATCATAGCGCAAATGCACTAAGACATGAAGTTCAGTATGCTGGTTACACTTAAAAGTGCTACCAAACACACTCATCATCCCAATCCGAAAGATAGACGCTACGACGCCGTTCACAAACGGCATGGGTGTGCGATGTCCACGGGAAAGCCGTATTGCTACAACAAACCTGATTGCCACCGGCACTAAAATGATATTTCTAGGATACATTGATTAGCAAATCCAAGTTTACCTAAAAAACAAAATAAAAAAAGGTTTATGACAGAGTGGACAGGACTGTGTTATGGCGAACACTGAACTCATTTGGGTTGAGCGGTTTGATACAGGCATTAAGATCTCTTTATAATTACTCTAGTGCTTGTGTCAAGGTCAACGGGGTCTATCCAGACTGGTTTTGCATCCAAAACGTGTAAGACAGTGCTGTGTAGCTTACCCGTAGCTGTTCAACCTATTTATGAACAGTTGTTTGCAAACTTTGATAGGTGAATAATGTGGGTTAAGAATGTGGTGAGTTTACCGACAAATGCCTTTTGTACGCCGAATATCAAGTCATATTTGCGTCGTCGGCAACAGAAGTGCTGAAGTGTTTGTACAGTAGAGCTACGATGGCTATCCGACTACAGAACCAGAGTACGAAACCTATTCAACTGCAGAGAGGTGTAAGACAGGGTGACGTTATTTCCCTGAAACTCTTCACCGCTGCATTGGAAGATGTTTTCAAGCTACTGGACTGGAAATGATACGGCATTTACATCAATGGCGAGTACATCACTCACCTTCGATTTGCCGACGATATAGTCCTTATGGCAGAATCGCTGGAGGACTTAAGCACTATGCTCAATGACCTTAATTATGCCTCCCAACGGATAGGTATTAAGATGAACATGGACAAAACAAAGATCATGTTTAATGTCCATGTCACAATTGTGCCGGTAGTTGTTGGGAGCACTAAGCTCTTAGTTGTTGACGAGTACGTTTACCTGGGACAAATAGTCCGACTAGGTAAGTCCAACTTCGACCGAGAGGTCAATCGACGGGTTCAACTCGGCTGGGCAGCGTTCGGGAAATTACGACACATCTTCTCGTCAGGTATACCTCAAAACCTGAAAACTAAGTTGTACAACCAGTGCGTGTTGACGTCAGTGATGACATATGGAACTGAGACGTTGTCCTTCACTGCTGGCCGTATGAAGACGCTCAAAGTCGCTCAGCGAGCTATGGAGAGGGCTATGCTCGGAGTTTCTCTGCGTGATAAACTTAGAAATGAGGATATCCGCAGTAGAACCAGAGTGACCGACATAGCCCAACGGTTAGTAAGCTGAAGTGGCAATGGACCGGCCATATAGCTCGAAGAACCGACAACCGTTGGGGAAGTAGGGTTCTCGAGTGGCAGCCCGTACCGGTAGGCGAAGTGTAAGGCGATCCCCCACTAGATGGAGTGACGGCCTGGTAAGACATGCAGGAAGTCGATGGATGCAGGTGGCTCAGGACCGTGCTTTGTGGCATACCTTGGGGGAGGCCTATGTTCAGCAGTGGACTTGTGAAAGGCTCTAATGATAAATGATGCAAGGATAAGTAATGCGATTCTGCGATGTTGGCTGTTCTTGGAAATATAGTCTAGGAGAAATCGGCCCATGAGAACCGAAAACTATTCCACCTCATTTTGTAAACGCATGTTGCCATAGGGCAACTCGGTGCCATGTTGTTTAAACCGATTTTGTTCAATTGCAAGGAATTGTTTTTTAAAAACCGTATAGATTTTATATTCTTTGATAAAATACGAATAAAAATATCCTCTGACTATTTACGATAAAATTAATGTTTTCAGAGTTAAGTCTTGTATTTTGTATTTCATTAAAGAATATAGAAAAAGTCTTTTATATTTTATTATTTTTCTTTACATATTTTTTATGAGTCTAAATTATTCGTATTTAGGATTTATCAAACTTTTAAATATTTCTCTTTAACACATTTGACTTTTTTATTCGTATTTTATCAAAGAACATAAAAATTATTGTACCATAATTGATCACACTCTTAATCTCATGGCTGTTAGACGGGAGATGAGGCTGCAATCGTCAACAGATTTGACAGCATACAGGCAACTGAACAGACAGATCTCCAAATGCATGCGGCGAGACTTACGCAACTTTAATACTGCTCGTATTAAAGAAGCGATCGAGCGGAACCAGGGCTCCAAAGTCTTTGCCAGAGATCTGTCTGCCAGAAAGAGCCAACTGTCAAGGCTGAAGACTGAGTGTGGCAACATTGTTTCCGGTACACCTGAGATTCTGAGTGAGATTGAGAGGTTCTATGGGCAGCTGTACACATCATCATTGGGGCCACACGCAATTGTGAGTAACGATCCAAGAGAAAGTCTTATCCGACACTATTCCGATGATATCCCGGACGTCAGTCTGAGCGAGATTAGAATGGTTTACCACCACCTTAAAAACGGCAAGACCCCGGGCGAGTATGGAATTACAGCGGAGCTTCTGAAAGCGGGTGGAACACCGGTACTTGAAGTCCTTCAGAAGCTCTTCAATTCCGTCCTCCATGGTGGCACTACTTGGCGCGCGGTCTTGTTCTTTAAGAAAGGCGACAACGCTCTCTTGAAGAACTACAGACCGATTTCCCTTCTGAGCCGCGTCTACGTGCTGTTTTCGAGAGTCATTACGAATCGTCTCGCACGCAGACTCTACGACTTCCAGCCTCCCGAACAAGCCGGTTTCCGAAAAGGCTTCAGTACCATAGACCACATAAATACCCTTCGGCAAATTGTACAGAAGTCCAAAGAGTACAATCTGCCACTTTGCCTGGCGTATGTGGACTATGAGAAAGCCTTTGATTCCGTAGAAATTTGGGCGGTGCTACAGTCTCTTCAGCGGTGCCTAGTTGACTATCGGTATATTGAAGTGTTTGTACAGTAGGGCTACGATGGCTATCCGAGTACAGAACCAGAGTACGAAACCTATCCAACTGCAGAGAGGTGTAAGACAGGGTGATGTTATATTCCCGAAACTCTTCACCGCTGCGTTGGAAGACGTTTTCAAGCTACTGAACTGGAAAGGATACGGTATTAACATCAATGGCGAGTACATCACTCACCTTCGATTTGCCGACGATATAGTCCTTATGGTAGAATCGCTGGAGGACCTTAGCACTATGCTCAATGACCTCAATGGTGTCTCCCAACGGATAGGTCTTAAGATGAACATGGACAAAACAAAGATCATGTTTAATGTCCATGTCACACCTATGCCGGTAGTTGTTGGGAGCACTATGCTCGAAGTTGTTGACGAGTACGTTACCTGGGACAAATAGTCCGACTAGGTAAGTCCAACTTCGACCGAGAGGTCAATCGACGGATTCAACTCGGCTGGGCAGCGTTCGGGAAATTACGACACATCTTCTCGTCAGGTATACCTCAATCTCTGAAAACTAAAGTGTATAACCAGTGCGTGTTGCCAGTGATGACTTACGGATCTGAGACGTGGTCCTTCACCGCTGGCCGTATGAGGACGCTCAAGGTCGCTCAGCGAGCTATGGAGAGGGCTATGCTCGGAGTTTCACTGCGTGATAGACTCAGAAATGAGGATATCCGCAGTAAAACCAGAGTGACCGACATAGCCCAACGGATTAGTAAGCTGAAGTGGCAATGAGCCGGCCATATAGCTCGAAGAACCGATAACCGATGGGGAAGAAAGGTTCTCGAGTGGCAGCCTCGTACCGGTAGGCGTAGTGTAGGGCGTAGTGGGGACTAGATGGAGTGACGACCTGGTAAGACATGCAGGAAGTCGATGGATGCAGGTGGCTCAGGACCGTGCTTTGTGGCATTACTTGCGGGAGGCCTATGTTCAGCAGTGGACTTGTGAAGGGCTGTAATGATGATGATGATGATGATGATGATGATGATGATGATGATGATGATGATGATGATGAATTGATAGAATCAAGCGTTACTTTGCGGAAATCCATTATAATAAAAAAATATTACTTTGCAACCTTCCGCTAACCAAATACAATCATGTGTCTTACCTGGATTGAAGAGCACCTCCCGCCCTCCCTCAATTGCATGCACTAACTCCGTCACCACTAGTCCCAGCACCACAACTCCCGGCACCACTAATTCCAGGTAAGACACACCATCGACGACAATACGACACGTGTTTCGCCTTTACATGAGACATCCTCAGGTAATGTAGACTCTACGGCGACTGACTGCTAAGTGAGCGGCGAACCGAAACAGCTGCTATTTATACACGCCGACACAACCACTCCCCACCAAAGTAGCGATTGTTTTATTTTTTTTTTGTTTTTTTTTTTATTTAAAATTATTATTAAAGATTAGCCTTAAAGATGTTTAACAAAGGTGAATTAGAAACATTTGTTTGTTCATTCAGCAGTGCATTGTTACCATTATTATTTTTTTAAATCTCCAACTCTTCCAGCATACACAGTCGCAGTACATACTTATTACAAGTATGTAAGACATCAAAGGAATAGTTGCTGGCTAGGTTGTGTCCAGTGTCCAAGAGATGTTTAGCAAAATGGGATTTATCAGGATTGCAATTTCTGTATGCGGCCAAATGCTCTTTATAGCGCGTCTTGAAATTGCGACCAGTCTGACCCACGTAAACGGCGTGGCATTCATCACAAACAAGTTTATAAACACCCGATTTTTGACTACTTTATTATTACAAATATTTCTAAGCGAATTGTTTGTTTTGAATGCCACGTTAATGCCATTTTTTCTAAAAGTATTAGCTATTTTTTCCGATATGGAGCCTAAGTAGGTCAAACTACCCACATATCGCCGGACACTTTGTGATCGAACCGCGTACAAAGAATTGCGAACAACATGCTTTTGTTTCTTTTTAATAAGATTATTAATGAGATTTTTTAAAAAACCGTTAGAGACTGCAATTTGATAAGTTATATTAATTTCTTTTAAATAATTTTCTTTACTTAATGGAACAGTGAACAGACGGTTGATGTAACAATAAAAAGCGACTAATTTACGTTGCCATGGATGACACGATATGTCATTGTCATCAAATGTTTTCGGTACTCAAACGCCGATTCCTCCTGGACTTATCGGGGAGTAGAATGTATGATAATTGTAGCTATTGGTTTTATTTTTGTAATAAATCATATAACTTTTTATATGAATTGTAATATTTATAAATCATATAAATATGGTACATAATTTAATTAAACTTTTAGGAAAACGTTCACTTTAGCCAGGCTTATGGTTTAACAGAAACGGGTCCGCTTGCAACTGCCTGTCCTATTGGTTACAAAAATTACAAAAAAGTTGGTTTTGCATTGCCAAATATTGAACTAAGGGTCATTGACGGAAATTTAAATAATCTTGGTCCCAATGAGGTAAGTGTTAAAAAACTGTTTTGATACTTGAATTGCTAATAAAGTGATGTACCAAAAAATCATGAGTTAGTCACCGTGACTGTGATTTTTTAATGAATGCTTCAAATAGATTTACTCGATCTTTTAAAAAATAAATGTTTTGTCCTTGAAAATTCGCATGTCGAATATTCGTAATTTGAACCCAAGCCTGTGTAAATTGTAAAAGTAACAATTATACATATTATTTGAAATATGTATTGTTTTGCTTAAACAATGCCATAAAGATACGTATTAATCTATTGTTCAAAGTAAACTGATTGTTAATACTGCAGGTGGGCGAACTTCTAATAAAAGGACCAAATGTAATGAAAGGTTATAAAGATAATCCAGAAGCCAATAAACAAGTATTCGTAGACGATGTCTGGCTAAAGACTGGCGACTTAGCTGAGATCGATGAATTCGGTGCCGTTACTATTGCAGACCGACTTAAAGAATTGATAAAGGTAATGTTTTAATATGATGTTTTCATTTGAAGTTTGTTAAATTATAAAATTGAGATATATTAGAAAATTCTGGACTGATTTTAATAGGTGACAACTAAATCAAATCACAAAAGAGGCAATATTCTTTATTGTCTCTAGCTTCTTTTATTCTGCTTTCCACCCTTTTTTAATATATCAATGCGCTTAAACAATTAAACGCTTGTAGCACACAAAACGTTGCCAAAAGTCAGGAGAGATTATTCTTCCCTTTTCTTTAATTCCGAATTTTTAAATACGAAATTTCCCAGAATGAGATGGGGTTTTATGACTACTTATGTCAATGGTATGACTTAATGAAAACTTCTTTTAAACTTTATCTCTAAATCTATAAATATATTTAATAAGAAAATTTTGATGCATAAAATTGCAAGAATAATGAAATTTTGAGGTAAAGGATATATAGTAAAACTGTTATTATATTGGCAAAGTGATAATTAGCTTGTATTAACACAAAATTAACCTACTTCTAATGAATGGTTCAAAATTGGCAGCTGATTAATTTTAAAATAATAATTAGCTATATAAAAAAGATAGAGATGTACTAGGATCGTATCTATTGGAATTTGATATTCCCTTGAGTCGTTGTGAGTCACGAGAGTTTCTGTATTAATACTAGCTTTATACCCGCGGCTTCGCTCGCGTAGGCTTCAATTTAGCAACAATAATAAATATTGTTCAGTGCCAAATTTAGCAAATTTTGATCACTTAGAGTCACCTTTGTGTCTGGGTCTGTTTGTCAAAGAATTTTTTAGAATTCTCAAGTACTATTGCACGTAGATGTTTGATATTTGGCATAGATATAATATGTTACAGGAACACGTGAATAAATTAGTTTTAAGGTTAGGCTAACATCTTATGTCCATAACCACCTACTATTTTTACATCAGGTGTGTCTTCCAGTGTATATATAAGAAAGGTCAATTGTCTTGAAATCAAAATTACGAAATAATAAAAGAATTTAAAGTGTAAAATGTAAATATTTTACACTTTACATTCTTTCATCATTAAAGTTAATTTAGTTTTAACAAAACAATGATGACATGAATGTTCATTTGCGATATTTGATTCATATCATTAGTCCCATTTAATAGATACTGTTTGGTATTATAAAATAAATACTGATATTATTTTTACGTTTTAGTGACTGCAATTTTTAATAAATGAAGTTCTACAATGACTTCTTATATTTAGGCAAATGCTAAACATGAACTAAAATTAAATTTACGAATTTTATCGCTTTTTTAACTTTTTTACGTGAGTTCTTTTACGCATCTTTGGATCTAAGATCCATAAAAAACCGCGTAAAAGAACATATCGCTGATGCGAAGCACCGACGCTCCGGGACGTCTATTTAGTATCGTCCCAACCATTATATCAGATGTGATAGAATATAATACCTCGCAAAAAGAACCGCGATTCCACCAAGGATGAAGATGAAGGATGATGAATAATGAGCAAGTCTATTGAAATTTTAAAAAAAACCTAATTTCAATAAAGAACATGTCTGGGCAGCAAGCAGACGGTAGCAACCATCTGCTTGTGGATCCATAATTAATAAAGTTAAATTCAAACCCAAGCTTACTACTGCAAGACATAGCCTTCGTTAACTATGACATCAGAACGTTGAACACCTCCGTCCCCCCGTGACCTATGTAAAGTATTAAAAAAGTAAAAACAAATCGCGATAAAATTCTTAAAATTAATTTTATTCCAAATGAAGATCTATTCACAGTGAAAGAGTGGGACGAACCACACTCATGAACGGGGGCAGAAAAATATTCGCCTTGTGGCGGCGAAAGTGAATCCACCACCTCATATCGTCGTAGCAAATATCCAGCCTATTTGACAATTTATGGGGAAGGAAGAGATAATTGCCCCATTAAACGTAAAAAATAGCAGCCTACATCTCGTCATCGTCATTACTGGGCACACTGAAAACTACATCCAAATATAAAAGTATCGTTAGTCATTTTGCCAAACGTGGTAATTGCAATAAATCATCCCTAGGATGACCACCGGTCTGGGTATTTAAAGTTTTGATTCTAAGCGAATAAGTATTCTGTAGCATCTATTAATTAATTTTATCAGTTACTTATCATTTGTTTATTCAGCAGTGATTAGATTGCGCAATTATTAGATAAAATAATGAAAATCAAAACTATGCTTTATAGTGATAACAGCGATAGAAGATTGGAGTACAACTGGAAAGCCGCAAACATTTATTTATTATATAAATATATAAATAAGGCATAAAGTAGCGTTGATTCTGCTAAAAACTCTGTTTGTGATAAAAGTACGCTATCAGCGCCGCTAGCGGTGAAGTTAGTTAGCGGTGTTATTTAGCTATTTTAGTATATCGTCATACGGTCTCTTTTCACTGATTTGGACAATTTTATTATGACATATTAAATTTGAAAAATAAACCAGTCATCCTGCATATACATGAACAAACAGAATCATATTATATAATTAACATTTAAATAAAGGAAAAGACTTGGCCTTCTTTTTTTGTAGTTCCATAATCGGAATAAAAATAAGTCTGTAAGTATCCATGGGTTACTAACAACCTACATACAAAATTGTATGGACATCGGTTCAGTAGTTTTTTTTGCGTGAATCGTGAATACACAGACAGACAGACAGATAGACAGAAAGACAGAAAATTCTAAAAACCACTAATTTAGCTTCAGTATCCTTTACTTACTTCCCTGGACTTGATTTTCCAAGAATATATTAGAATTACAGACACGACTTTTCTACAGATTTGTTATATGTATTGATTAGTGACTCTTCTTAGTCTATTTTTCGTACTTGCTCGTCGGCAACGCCGTCTTAGACCATTCCGGGGCCCTTAGGCACACAAAAATTTGGGGCCCTCATTTTTACTATAAATATAAAACATTTTTCTACTATGATCTTACATTTATTATAGTTAATTGGTAAAAATCAAATAATATGTCATTAATGAGGGCATCCACGACTTCTTCTGCTTCTGTCACCAGAGCGGCGTCACTTTACAAAGAGTAAAATATTTTACCTCATCACTGACCTCTATAAATAGAGGCCAACGATAAAGTAAAATATTTGACAGATTTCATAGCGGGACAATAATTTCTTGGGAAAATGTAAACTTTAATGTTTATTCCCTAATTTTTTTTCAAAAAGAAAAAATTCTACAACTACATCAATACGTGTATTCTTTTTACTTATTACGTTAAGATTTAGGCTTCACTTGTCTAAAAATAAGAATCGTAACAATTATTTGCTATATAATCTAATATTAGTGGTTGAAAATTATCATGTTAAATAAATCATTTCCCGTTAAATCTTTTGAAAGGTTTTTTTAAATTAAACAGTACGAAATGATATTTTTATCTCATGGATTATAAATATATAGATTGCCAACAAAATCCAGGCTATAAGTAAGGCGAAGCCCAACATATACGTTTAGATACATATTTTATACCTAGGGAATTTGTCAATGCCACTTTTTCTGGCTAACTTGGCAATGTGTAGCTTTTCACTGCTTTTTTTTTTTGTTGCCAGAAAATTACTAACACCGTCCTCATTCAGTCTATAAAATTTTTGTCGAGTTATACTCGTATTTTCCTAAAATAGAAAACAGATTGTATAGCTGAAGCGAGTAAGGCCGACGCCCTTCGTCACGGGACCCCCCGACGATAGGGGCGGCGCACAGGCCCCGTGTGCCCTTATGGTAAGGATGGTACTGTTCGTCGGTTAAGGGTACTCTTAATCTGGCCCACTTTCAATATATCGTCAATTTGGTCGATAAACTTTCATCTAGAGCGTCCCTTCACGACTCTGCCGTTCAATTCCGGGGCCCTTAGGCACACAAAAATTTGGGGCCCTCATTTTTACTATAAATATAAAACATTTTTCTACTATGATCTTACATTTATTATAGTTAATTGGTAAAAATCAAATAATATGTCATTAATGAGGGCATCCACGACTTCTTCTGCTTCTGTCACCAGAGCGGCGTCACTTTACAAAGAGTAAAATATTTTACCTCATCACTGACCTCTATAAATAGAGGCCAACGATAAAGTAAAATATTTGACAGATTTCATAGCGGGACAATAATTTCTTGGGAAAATGTAAACTTTAATGTTTATTTCCTAAATTTTTTTTTTCAAAAGGAAAAAATTCTACAACTACATCAATACGTGTATTCTTTTTATTTATTACGTTAAGATTTAGGCTTCACTTGTCTAAAAATAAGAATCGTAACAATTATTTGCTATATAATCTAATATTAGTGGTTGAAAATTATCATGTTAAATAAATCATTTCCCGTTAAATCTTTTGAAAGGTTTTTTTAAATTAAACAGTACGAAATGATATTTTTATCTCATGGATTATAAATATATAGATTGCCGACAAAATCCAGACTATAAGTAAGGCGAAGCCCAACATATACGTTTAGATACATATTTTATACCTAGGGAATTTGTCAATGCCACTTTTTCTGGCTAACTTGGCAATGTGTAGCTTTTCACTGCTTTTTTTTTTGTTGCCAGAAAATTACTAACACCGTCCTCATTCAGTCTATAAAATTTTTGTCGAGTTATACTCGTATTTTCCTAAAATAGAAAACAGATTGTATAGCTGAAGCGAGTAAGGCCGACGCCCTTCGTCACGGGACCCCCCGATGATAGGGGCGGCGCACAGGCCCCGTGTGCCCTTATGGTAAGGATGGTACTGTTCGTCGGTTAAGGGTACTCTTAATCTGGCCCACTTTCAATATATCGTCAATTTGGTCGATAAACTTTCATCTAGAGCGTCCCTTCACGACTCTGCCGTTCAATTCTGCAACATAGATTTGCTTTGCCACTCTTTCCTCGTTCAATCTTTTTGCATGACCAAACTACGGAAGCATTCCTTTCTTAATACTAATAAATAATTAGCAGTTTTTCACACGATTGAGAAAAATGAGTAAATGTATTAATCAATAATGTCGTTTAAATTAGTTATATAACCTGCAAAGTGAAAATAACGTAGGGCATAGGTATATTTCATACATCACCATTACACAATTATATTATAAATTCGGACGGTATCTTAAAATAACTATCTCCAATTTAGAATTAGCCAAGAAAAAAGACAAATAAAAAAAAAACAGTGACATGCAATAAAGTACTCAGGTAAAAATCTGTAGTAAAATAAACAGAAGTAAAATTAGAGAATTATAATATCATATAAGGAACTTTCACACATTTAAATCTTAATATAATTAATATCTAGAATAATGTTAATATGATTCTAAAATCTTTCAGGTAAATGCTTTCCAAGTACCTCCAGCAGAATTAGAAAGTGTCTGTAAAGAACATCCTGCAGTGCACGATGTTGCTGTTGTGGGTGTTCCTGATGCCAAAACTGGTGAAAAACCTAAAGCATTTATAGTATTGAAAGGAAACATTAACGTTAGTGATACGGAAATCCTGGATTTTGTAGCTGAAAGAGTGGCTCCATATAAAAGAATAAAAGAAATATCATTCATAGAGGATATACCAAAGAATCCGTCTGGAAAAATTTTGAGAAGAGTATTACTTGAAAAATATTGTTAACAATAATAAAGAGATGAAAAAAATCTAACCAATGCTTATTTGATTGACACCTACATCTACACTTGATTATTAATGAAAATGCAGATGGGTCACCCCTGAGAACCGATGGAATACCTCGTTACCAGTAAAATGGGTTTCTCTACTCTCACCGAAAGGATCTCAGAAGTGATACACTGTTATGTTACGCTGATATTCTGTGAAGGCGTGGTCCTCTTGATGGTTGAGCCGAACTATTCGTGATGCAGCTATAATACAGCCGCACGTTTTTCCACCACGCGTAAAATTTAACTAATTGACGAACCAGTTACTGGGGACAGACTAATGAAGATCTGTAGATTTATTTTATTTATTTATTTTATTTTAATTATTTACCCAGCGTGGTGAGTATAGACAATTATTACAGGCAATGCTAGTCAGTTTCAGTTTTTTTTTTATAAATTTTTTTGGTTTGTTTTTTTTCAGTTCATTTCGTTTATATTCAAAAGAACTTTTATAACAGTTTTGTAATAAAACACTATACTGAAAAATCTATCTATACTAAAAAAAAACAAAAATCAACACAATAACACTCCACACCTAACAGGCGTACGAAATGAATGTAGATTATACATAAATACCATAGACTAAGTGAGCTTTTATTGCATTAGAGGATAGAAAATTTCACATGGAGACAATAATACCAAACTTCTTCATAGACATAGGTTTAAAGTGCTGTGGGCATTGACTTATACATTACTAGCGTAAGGACCCGGCCGACCCCACAACTAAATCGGACCAGTTCGCTGGCCCTAAAATGACTTTATAGGGCCAACGCGACTAGGTTGACAGTGGTGCGCGCGCAGGACAGATTTGCCTGTCATAAATATGTCTAGTTATGTGGTAAAAAGATGCAAAAATTACGATACAAAGATTAAATAGGTACATGGGATATCGTGTCATCGGTAAATAACCTTATATAATTTTTTTTACAATTACATTATTATATAAACGCGTCTTTAAAGTTTTATTTTACAGTTAGTTTAGTTACATTACCAAAATTAGGCCCGCGTTGGATTCTGACTCTCAAAAATATTATACATGGAATGGAATAAAACGATACTTTTTTCAAAAATTATATCACGTTTGACGTTTCATGTTTTTTTCCCATGTGCCGGGATTTTGGCGTCACGCGTCTAGTTTATCTATACGTTTCGTTTTTTGACGGTTTTATTTTTATTTCTGTTTAATTTTGTCTAAAGAACTAAGTGTTAGTTAAATTTTGAATATTGGTAGCCAATATATTTTAAATTCAATAAGGATAAAATGAAAAGAGTACAAGAGAAACCATCTGCTTAATTGAAGCTGAAAATCTGATTCATAAAATATTTTGAAATTCTGTTTTCAAACCGATTGCTTCTGGAGCATAGAGTTTTTATCATGGTAGTCCTCATTATAGTTGTATCAAGGATGCAACATAAATGTGCAACATCGATCGAGCACTGATTAACCAGAAAAGGAGCTAATTCTTATTTTATTTAAAAAAAAACGCGGTACTCATGTACAATACAGATATTCTCGATATCGTAGGGTTAATATTAAAAAGTAAAAGGACCCAATAATAATACAAGTCGACCTTTAGGTAAAATATTATGGTATTTTCGCTTGGTTTTATTACGATACTACATACTACAAATTATGAAATAATGGTACAATTAGGATAATTATACTACGAAATCCGACCTCAGTTACGTCGTGATTATGATATGACGTTTGTATTATGATAGATGTGCTACTTTTTCTTGTATGAAAAAGTTATGAGTAAAATATTAATATGGGCCTATCCTTCCTTTTGAAATCATTGGCTGTGGGTGGGTGTGGTCGGATACGACCGCTTGGAATTTGACGGAATATCGCCTTGGTCGGATCTGACCGTGTGCATATTGAAGGGTAAATGGGAGACTTCAACACAAAACTAATACCAATAATTACTTATTTTTATAAATTTTGGGCGTCTTGGACGCTTGGACGATGACGTACAAATAAAATAATGATGAAGTACTTTTCAACATTAAAATAAACTAGGCAGCCTAAGCAGACTCAAGTGTTTTTTACCAGAATTTTTTATCCTACAAATGCCTTTTGTACGCCGATGATCAAGTCATACTTGCGTCGTCGGCGGCCGAGTTGCAAATGAATTATGAGAATAATGAATTATGTTATTTATAATGGAATGAAAGATCAACACGTTTGTTCAACTCGAGTGTTTATTTAATACTGGCTTACTTTCTAATACATCGAATATCACCTACAAGTACATAGGTTACTTCACCTTTGAAAATCAATGAAAATTAGTGTTTTTTTATTTTCGGTAAACACAAGTGTTGTTTTTTTTTTAAATTGGTGAAGTTCATCTAGCCAGTGTTAAAAAATTTAAACAATAAGGTTTTGATAGAACTTATGACCCGACTAAGTATAGTTGAAATTACAACGAAATTACTTAATCTATATGCTTGTTAATCAGTCAAATATATTCATAACATCAATATTCGTAATTTACTTACTCGTTATTTTGATTACTTAAATCAATATTTTTTTTAAAGTATTTTAAGATTCTGACAATTTCTAAGATGTCTTAATCGTCGCGGGCGCTGCGCAATTTAAGACCTTCAGAAGGCGTTTTTTAAGATTTTATAGAAATTATGTATTAACTCGGATTAGTCCGGCGATGGCCCAGAGCTATTTTAAACCTCATTTTCGATGTGGCGTCCTAATAGCCTTGGATGCGTTTGCCTTTCGGTACATACGTCAAAATAAAAAATAAATATTTGGCGGTAAAGAAAGTACCCAGATAAATAACAAAATGCAAAGTTTCCTAATAGGTTGTTTATTAATAATTATTTTTATTTCCTTGCATTTTTTTGGAGAAAGCACCTATGTCGCGGCATTTGCAATAATGTACTCTTTAATGATGAATAGGTATCTGATCATCAGCAATGATTTTTGCAGAATATTTCCTTTCCATGTGCTGCTTCAAATTGGTAGTACTACTACAAGTTTTCAACTCCTTTTCGGCTTAATCTCGAAATACTGCCGCCATCAACTTTTCGGTTTCTTGCTAGACATAATTGAACTGGCAAAGTAAATTCACGGAACAAAACACACTTGATATAGCCAAATAACGAATTGACTTAAACCAAACCGCTCACTACAATCTAGTAGTTGCAGTGTTGCCATGCTTGGTAAACTTGCTCTCATATTTATTGCTTTTTATATAATTTAAACAAAATGATTGCAAACAAGTATAAATTGGGACTGTTTCAAGAACTAACTTACAGCTGCAAAAAATCGAAAACTGTTAGAATAAAATATGAATATGTTATAATAAATAATGGATTTTTTTATCATAAATAATCGATTAAATAAAGAATCGTAATTTTTTTCAGAGGCCTATCGTTTAGTACGTGTGCATTTGTGAGTGCGTTTCCCGTTGTTTTATTGATTTACCACTGCTTTCTTTCTACAAACTTCTGATCTTAACTTGTACGATTCTTGCTATCATACCAGACGCCGATAATATTGTTTACTCGTTTGACTTTGGCTCGTTATTGTGGATTTTGTGTTCATTATTAAAGTGTTTGTTTTTTATTTTAAACATCACCTCCTTACCTTTCCTATCTTTCAATCTATATGTGAGTTTGCTATTACCCTCCCACTCAATACAATACAATATATACTACAATTAATGTAGTGAACAACTACATAATAAGACAAAATAGCAGTTGCACTTCAAAAATCAGTTATTTAGTATATAGGTTGTTGTTATCTTGTTGCATAACCTCACTTTTACTAAGTGTTGAAAAATCTTCGCAGAATTTTCAGTGATGTTTTGATAATATATAAGTTATTAATTGACGTGACTTTGATCTTTTTACAATCTAGGCCCAAGAATGTATGAAAGCGTATCAGTCTCCTTTGAACCTTTGCCCCCTTCGTAAGGGGTTGCTTTGGAAAATACGTACTCATTTATTTAATTTACAGAGTTTATTATAGTAGATAATAGACATTAGGAAGTTTATAATAAGGTTTTCCTATTTCAACCTCTTACGGGTTGAATTTTCAAAAGTCCTTTCTTAATGGATGACTACGTCTTAAAAGGCAGCTACTTAAGTACTCTGTAAATAAAATAAATGAATAAGTATTATGCATTTTTTCAAAACAACTCCTTACGGAGCAGACGATGTTTAAATTTGTATGGGACATACGTTTCAGTATTTTTGACAAAAAGAGGGTAAATGAAAGATAGAAATATCCAAATAGAAAATAAATAACCCGTGCTTAAGGATTTTAGGATACTCTACAAATAAGAAGGAAAATAGGGAATGAAGGCTATTATATAATTGAAATGTGAAATGCGGTTTTAAATCAATCAACCACCAATATGTTATTTATTGTACTGTAATACTCACTAAAACAAATAAGTAAACAAAAAGATATAATAGGCGATCTTATCGTTTTGAAAGCAATTTCTTTGACAACTTTTTACGTGAATATTTTATCACAGCGCATAGTAAGGAGTAAGGTATAAATAAGTATAACATTATGTTAAAAAATAAACAAAAAGTAAAAATACAAGATAATGACAGTTGAGAAAAATAAGGTAGACATAAGAAAGTACAGAAAGTATAATGGAAAATATTAGAGTTTCAAGTCAAAGATCTACTCCAAGCTTACTTAAAGTCTGAAAGTAGAAATGATTGAACACAAAGTATGTGTAGAGGCAAGGAGATCTCTCATGACCATAGAGCTGTAACAAATATTGATTTATTGATGAAGGAGGATGAACGTGCTGGAATGCGAAGAGTGATTGTTAGAGTAATTTTTACTATTCAAAAGACCTTTGTCTGACTTAAAATCTGCGATCATTATTATTCCGAAATTTCAATACTTTGGCGCCAGTTGCTTCATTTGGGTATTATTTTGTTAAAGGAAATTTTTATTGATAGCTGATAGTATTTTTAAAA